TTGTTTGTCAATCAAGCTTATAAAAATGTTCTCAAAATCCTTTACAAATGTTAAAAAAGTAATTGTAATTCGTCGAAAAGTGATTTGTTTAGGACTTGAGGTTGCAATTTAGAATATTCCAATCTGGTCTCGACATTACAAAGGCCTTATTCAAAAGACAACTTAAAAACGGTGTCTTAGCAAACATTATGATCATCTTTTACGAAGCTATTTCCAGTTAAAACTCCGACGCGACTTTATTGACCTTGTTTATTTATATAAAGTTCTTAACTTTAATACTCATACTGAACTTCATGTGAAATTTCCGTTGCTTTGTTGTCTTAAAGTTAATAGAAATAAATGTCTTTTATATGTATACACTTCGGCTAGCTTATCCGCTACTTTGAATGCTCCTGTGAATAGGCTATCTCGCTCTTACAACTATATTTCTATTAATATGTTTTATAAGGCTTACTATTTATCGTAATCTTGTTTATGATGTTCTTAATGCGGTTTGAGTTTTAAGTTTTTATTGTGGTTTAGTTTTATTATTACGTTTTTTTTGCTTTTTTGCCTGTATTTTCTAATAATTTGTGTGTATGTGTGAAGATTTGTAATTATATACTTTCTCGTATTTGTTTGTAAGCATGCATAATTCATATGTTTTAAGAACTATAACTAGAGGAATATAATGAATTTGGGTTGAACTGAGAATTAAATTTGAAATATTTTCCTTTACTTTCCTTGGACAAGTTTTATTACCATTAAAAATGGTGTATGTTTTTGAGTATTTTCATTGTTGAACTTTAAAGAAGTTTTTATTACATTTTTTTGATCTGATGTCTTAAAAAATTGTATATATGAATACAATACAATTCCGGGTTACGGCATATGATAGAGAAGTAGGAAAAGTTCTTTATACGTTAAATTTACATGGTAATGCATGTATCTCTATTAAAACTTTAATAAAAGTCAATTATGATGTTTTAAAAAAAAGTTACCTGTAGGAGTATCTCATTAAAATAAATTTAAAAAGCTTTTTAAATTTAGGTTAAAGTTGACATGATTCATTCTGTTTGCCAAAGCATGATTTTAATGCTCACGAATTCGATTGTGATGATTCAAATAAACTTATTTACAATTAAATGACTAGTATTAATTTGATTGTAATTTTGGGCAAGTTGTTGTGTAATGTGTATGCGTTGTCATGCATCATCATAAATAAATATGTATATGTATTAAAAATTGTTAAAGTAAAGGAAACGTATCGGGATGGTCGGCATTATAATTAATTACTTATTGTAGTAAAGCTTCCTTTACCCTGACGTCTTTAAAGTATGAGGCGAAGATTATTTTAATGTCAAAGTTCAGTATAGAGGTAGTATATAATAGTTTTACCAATGTGTTTTTTATTAAACTGTGATGCAATGTTTAAATTTTTTTGTTTATTTTTCAATGTACCTTATTGTAATAAAACATTGTTTTCAATAATTGGTTTTAATGAAACCTCTAATTTATAGAATTTTGTTTTAGGTCTGCTGTGGTTTTAGCAAGGATTCAACTGTACAGGGGCGGTTTAGTGGAAGATAGATTTTATTTTTGTTACTTTTCTAGCATTGATTTCAATATCGAATAAGGATTAGAACAATATGCTTTTTTCAATCTGAATTATTTTCATTAGTTTAGAAATAACTTTTTTCAGTATTACACTAATTGTTGGCCAGATACTGTTGTAGGGTTTAATTAGCTTAAAGCCCAATCAGTTAACGTACAGCAGCTTGTAACAAACTGGTTATGAGAAAATAGATTTAATTTAAAGAATGTAAATATAAATTTACTTTCATGAAATTAAGATTAGACATCAAATTGTTTAATCGAATTCCGCTATTTATTGATGAAGTCAGGTTCGGTTCGCAATAGTTTCATTAAAATTCTTATTTTTGTATTTATACTAACATTTTACATATTTTTTGCAGATATGGTCCTAGAAACAATGTTGGCCCTACGTTCCCGCCACTTGGGGCTAAACCTGTTCCACTCATGGGTCTTAATCTCCAGCCTCAGCCTGAAGTTCCTCCCCCAGGTTATCGAGGCCGTTTTGATCCATCATTCGACGACATCCCACCCGGGGTAGATCCACCGGTACCGGGATTCGAGCCACCACCTTTTGAAAAAGCACCATTTGGTCCACCTGGTACAGAACGCGATAGGTTGCCGCCATCAAACTTTCGGGAACCTTATCGTCCACCGACGTACGCTGATGGTACTGGAAGTTACAGAGATGCTCCTGTAGCTCCAATATCAAATGATGCTCCACCACTACATTTGGATCACCCACGTTACAGAGATAACTTTAGAGGGGGTGCCCCTTATCGAGATGGTGGTCCTTTACCGTACAGGGATGGACAGCCTTACAGGGATCAAGGTGTGGCCCATCGCGATGCCAACTATAGAGGTGGACCATCACAATTTCGTGAAACATCTTTCAGAAGCGTACCGTATCGAGATGGAAATTATAGAGATAATATGCCGCCCAATTTCCGTGAAAGTGCTCTACCTTTTAGACCTCCTAGTGCTGATCCAAGGGAACAAATTCCACCCTTCCATGATCCTAACTATCGTGAAGGATTTAGAGATGATACCAGTCGAGATGGTAGACAAGCAATGCGTTCTAATAATTCTTCTCGTAGGACTGGCTCTAGGCGTGAAAAGGATAGATCTAGAGAAAGATATCCTGATGGTCGCGAAATACCCGAGAGAACAGAAAGACTGCGGGCCAGCGAAAAAAGCCGGGAATCCCGTGAAGAACGTGTACGTGACTATGATCGAACAAGAGACTTTGATAAAGATCGTCATGGCTCACAGGAAAAGAAAGGTCGCTCTCGAGATGTACGTGAAAAACATCGCAGTGAGTCTAGAGGTCGGTCTCGTGAACGTGAAAGCAAAAGAGATAGAAAAGACGACAGAGGTCGAGACAAATTATCTCCTGAAAAAAGCAAAGACCATAAAGACAAAGACAAAAAAGTGAAAGACCGAAAAAAGAAAAAGCGTGAGAAAGAAAAAGAAAGAGAGATAGAAAAAAAGAAAAAACGTGACAAGAAGGAAAAGAAAGATAAAGAAAATAAAAAAGAGGATGATGGAGAACGAAAAGAAACACAACTTACTGAACACGATAAAGTGGAAGAAATGAAGGTAGATGCAGAGAAAAAAGAAAGTAAACTAGTACAACCTTCGTCTGAGAAAAATGAAAATGTTCAAAAGCCTGCAGAAAATATTAAAGTTGACTTGTATGGAGACGAAACAGCTGCTGTTGTAGATAAAGAAATTACAGAGAGTTATGTAAAATCAGAAACAGATGACAATAATGAGGAAGTAAAAGAATCGGATACTGCTAATAAGGAAGAACCCTTTGATGGCATTGAGCTACAACCGGCTGCTGATGAATTGGCAGTTGATATGGAAATTCCCTCCAGTAATAAAGAGAATAAAGAGGTGTTGGCTCCATTGCCGGAGCTATCAAAGTGGGAAGTGGACGATGACAACCAAGAAAAGTCGAAGGAACCTGGTGAAATAACTTCTCCCGATGAAAAATCTGATTCTAAAAAAGTTACATCTGAAGTAATAAAACGGGCGGAAAAAGCTATATTTGCGAAGGCTATAAATTCGTTGCGCCCTATAGAAATAAAGAAGATTAGTAGTGACCGCGTTAAGTTATATGGAGATGAACAACCAAAACCTACGTTAAATAATATTCAAATAACTGTACCAGTAACTGAACTAGAAAGAAAAACTTTAGAATCCAATGACAGACAAAGTAGGAATTCTAAAACACCACCCCCTCGAATATCAGTGAAAGACAGATTAGGTGGAAAAGTTGAAAATGTTCATAAAGGAAGAGAACCTCGTGTGGTTCATAGCACCGTTGAACGTGTTAAATCAAGATCTAAAACTCCTTCTATCCGCAGGGTGACGTTAGAAAAAGAGCGAAGTAGAAAATCAGAAACTCGAAATATTGTGTCCAAAGACCGACATACAGACAGACGAGTCAAAACGGATAATATAAAAGGAGAAAATGATCACGATAAAAAGAAAGAAAAATCACACGGAGATAGAAAAATTAATGACGAAAAACTTGGCCGTAACAAAATAAATGATAACTCTGAATTCAATTCAACCAACGATAAAGAACGTAAGAAGTCGACGCTAGACGAAGCACACTTTGAGCCGGATTATGATGAAAATGTAGAATCTGAAACCGACACCAAAGAAGAGTCTAGCAAGAAAAGAGAACGTTCTGCGTCCCCAGGCCCAACACCGACAAAGAAACCCAAGATTGAGAATGAAACAATTAAACTAGATCTAACTAACGTTAGAAAGAGACCAGATACAGATAGCGCGTCTTCAAGCTCTGATGATTCATCGTCATCTTCTTCGTCAGATGGTCGTAAACGAAAAAAGAAAAAGAAGCGAACTAAAAAGAAGAAGAAACGTGCAGCAAGCGATAGTGAAAGCGAGTCTGATTCTAGTTCTGAGGACCATAAGAAAAAAAAGAAAAAACGTAAGCATAAGAAAAAGTCAAGCAAGAAAAAGAAGAAATCAAAGCATAAGTAATGTTTATTCCTTAATAAATTAAAATTAAACGCAATTTCAATTGCGTCGCTTTTATTATCGGGTAACTTAAGACTTGGTTGAATATTTTAAAGTCAAACTAATATTATGTATTTGTGTTGTAGTCATATGTTTAACTAATAAATGATGAATACATCTTACTTAGAAGTAATTGATCTTTTATTTATAGCCGTTACAGTACTCGTAATAGAGTTAACTTTGACTAGTTTTTGGTCTTTGAAAGTGAATTTGGAGTTATAGAAATCTAAGAACAAATTATTTGAGACAACCAGGAGTAACCAGGATTTCCGAATTCAATAAACACAGTAACAATCAGATTAATTTTATTATTAGAAGTAAATTATAATTAACTTAAATAATTTAGAAGTTCTTAATTTATTTTAAATTATAAACTATCTTTGGTATCCACGGAATAATACTATAAAGATATGTTGGAACCATCCTTTTCGTTGCATTTGTCGGTTGAGCTTCGCACTTGCACGGAATTCTTTCCATTCCTTCCGCTTTTGAATATCCACTGGTCCATACGTTGGTTTCTTTCGGAACGCCGTTCTCACAGTCTGGAAAAATATTTACGCGGTCACATATGAATCGTGACTTTCAGCCCTGATCTTTTTTGTATTATTTATGTTCAGCAATTTAGATTTTATTATTAATTTTATATTCTATTTGACAATTTCATTACTAAGAATGTAAAAGAAAAGACAAAATGATCACTCAGTCTAAATGCAGATATGTAACACACGTCGTTCCGTTTGCCCAATGACAATTAAATCGTCATGGTTATTTTTAATTTTATGTTATTATTTTGCTCACCTCGGTTATGTTTTTTGATCTGTATTTCCATAAGGCAGCGATGATGAAAATAGGAACCATCGCTATACCGAAATATTGGAGGCAGTTTCCAGCAACTGAAAATCACAAAATAGTGTTTCTGAAACAGGCACATGTCTGGTCATATCTTAAGCAAAAGAGCATGATTACCTACTTGCTATATTTTACAATAGTTGGTATATTATTTACTAGGATTGTTTATATCAAAATTAATTATTGTAATCTATAAAAAGTAAAGTAAATCTGATTAACGCTTAGAATATCAGTAAATTATTGAAACACAATAAGAATAGCTTTATCGACGTACTCGTATACGTATTTCTAATATTGAACCCAGACGTAAGTCACCAAAGTAATATAGTTAGTTTACTTACTATATGCAGCTTCAGGGTAGTCATATGTGCCCCCAAATTTGAGTCTTTGTGTGGTAATCATTGCGTAGAAGAACACTACAATCATTAATACGGGGGTGATGATACTCCAACATATCCTCCAGTAGAAAGAACAGGTTCTTCCTAACATAAACTGAATGTCTACTGTCAAATTCTCTAAACCTGTAACAGAAAGATATGTATTAGTAGTATAGGAATTCAAGAAAATGACATACGTATTTGTTATACTTATAACTGCACATCTTTCTCTGATTTCGCATAAACAAAAATAACAATATCTGAACATTTTTAGTCACATTTATTAAAACTGTCACAGTTCGTACACCTGAATAGAATGCGCATCATTGTCAATGTGTCGTGTGTTTTTTATTACGTCGTTTAACTCCACAATGATGCTTGTATATTCCCACTTAAATTAACTTTTTGAGGAAAGTAATCACTTGTTCTGTGCCAATATCCGAAAATTCAATTACATAAATGATTGATTACCGTAAATCCAGAATACTCCAATAGTCTCAGCAATAGCGGAAAAGAGTCTCATGAAAGTTCCTCCATAGAAATCAACTAATTCAAGAATGTATTGACCTCCCTGAAAATAGTTTTGAAAGACATTATTATCGTTATCTAATCTAAAGTATTAATTGTATTGGTCAAAATATTATAATAAATTTATTTCAAATTAAATCGCAATGCAGTAATTTGCATTTAAATGAAAAAAAATTAGGGAAGAGTTTTCCAAAATTCAAGTGGGTATGACGGAGTACATAGACCTTTCACCTAACGTGAGTTAGACTTACAGGCGTGACGTAGACTAGTCCAACCAGGAAAGCTACCACGCAAACTGAGGCAGACATCAATATAGTAGGAACTGAAGGGAATGCATCCAGAAGTACTGTGTTGATCATAGAAAGCAGAGCCACACCAGAGCCTACACCCAATACAGCCATCATCAAGAAGAATAATACCGCAAATAGCTGAAAAGAAAGTATTGACATCATTCTCACCTTCTTAGGCCCAATCCATCATGGCATTTAGTTATGCGAGAGGCCAAGAGGCAATGGATAATAAATGTATATACTATAAGTATAGTTCGTAGGTTTAAATGATGCAATAAATTAATATATATATTATGTCTATTAAATAAATACCATTTTGTACCAACCTGTGGTACAATGGGTGACTTAGCAATAGCATCTGGGTATGATATAAAGGCCAAACTTGTACCCCCTGATCCAATGACTTGACTAACATCGTCGTAATTTAATTCATAAGCGAGATTGCCAAGAACACCAAATATCGTGAACCCTGATAATAAACTAGTGAATGTGTCCAGAGTTGTGACTATCATTGCATCCCTGAAAAATAATTAGGAAACGTCATATTCGTTTTTATCTCTAAAAATTCACCCCCCCACGAAGAATCTATATTATTAAAATATATTGAAGATAATATAATTATATCTTATCTGCATACATTTTATTTATATCATGATGCAAAATGTAAATGATTAATGTATGCTAATCGTATTTATCGTAACAGCATTATGAATTGAACAAATTATCAAAAAGACATTTAACATGATAAGAATACCTGTAAACATTTTGATCAAAATTATTGTATGATGAAAACATCAAAAGAGCTCCAGAGCAAACTGACAACGAGAAAAATACTTGGGTCACTGCCGCATACCACACCTGAAATAAAATAAAAATGGTTAATTTCCTAGAAGAATAGTTAATTATATTTATTATTGGAATGTAATTTGTCGTTCGCATAGTTTTTGCTACTTACACACATATAGTTATAGCATATTGTTAATGTAAGGACTACATTATGAACCCCGTTAATCATGTATGTTAATAATTAAGTAGGTATGTTAATTTTGTAAATATAACATTTTGTCAAAGGGAGCGTTCAAGTATTACGTAACGCAATTTGGGGGGAGTCATTTGAAACGTTACAGTGCGTCATATGGGCAGGAGGGGGTTATTTAAACAACGCGTTACGTAACATTTTTTATTTTAATAAAAAAACTGAGGGATTAATTGGCAACCCTTTTCGTTTATGTTGTACGGGGAATCCCTTTATTGTATTGTGTTCGTTACTTTTATTTTTGCTTTCCTAAGTTACAGAAATCTTTAAGAAAGCTTCTAAAATCTTTAAGAATTGCGTTACGTAATACTTGAGCGCTCCCATAATTACTTATAAGGTATTACAATAGCTACCTTAATTTCCAATATTTTGTTCCAATCAGGTGTGATAAAAAACAATATCCCATTAACAGCCCCAGGTAAAGTTACGGCTCTGGAATTGTAAAAAAAAAACTAAAGCATTTCAAAGATAAATAGTTACACGCAGAGGCGGAATTTCCGTATGGCAAACTAGGCACGTCCCTAGTCGTGTAGTTACAAGGGGCGCGCGAGCTCAGAATTTTTAAAAAAGAAAATAACATATCGACGATTAAGAACTAAATGCTACACATATACATTAAGGCCTATTTCCCAGAGCAGAGAGGAATCATGAATTTCGATGTTTGTTCTGTCGTCCCTCTTGATTTCTTCACAGTTATAACGTCATATTTCATTTGCGCATTAGCGTAAGTACAAGGGATTGGTCTACACTAAAGTCTAGGGTTTGATGATACAACGTCATCGTAATTGCAAAAACAACTAGTTAAAATTTATAGTTTTATGATGGCCATTTATGGCCGGTACAGGGGCGCCGATAAAGTGATTGCCCTGGGGCGCTCTGGACCTTTAATCCGCCACTGGTTATTACACACGATTATTTATAAATTAGAAAACAAATAAGTTTGTACGTATGTATTCGATTGTATAATAAACTAACCGCACAAGCAGTATGATCATGATGACATAAGGAAACAGAGCAAGGAAGTAGGAAGCTTTGCCCGTACTCTTTATTCCACGGGCAACGATTATGAAAATAATAACCCATGACGCCAGGAGACATAGCGACAAATCCCACAGCGGAAGACCTGAGGACAAATATTTCACATTAAGTATTTTTTCGTAAGAAAATATTAAAATTCAGCTAATGTATTATAAATAAAAATATCATACCAATCCCATCATCTATTCCATTAGATTGACGTAATACCACTTTCCTGAAAATATACATTTTATTATTGAATTTACGTGTTCTTGACCAGTGTTATATGATCTTGTACTGTGAAGGAAAACATCGTGAGGAAAATTTGGATGGCGTGTGTCAAGCACAAAGGCTGATAACCTACTAAGAAAAAAATATAAAACTGATTGAAATCTGAGGCTCAGGCCTAAAAGGTTGTAAATTTACGGAATGCGAAGGCAGTATAAGGTAAAAAAAATATTATTTTTAAAAACTAAATTTGTATTTTTTACTATTTTATCTAAAGCACTTCTTCATATTTTTCTGTCAAAAATAAAACATCATATAATATATCTCATCAGTTTCTTATTAACTAGTTACTAGACTGATTTAGTGGTATGAATAAGGGGGAATGTCTTATCGGGACAGCCGTGTAATAATAATTATTATTTGAACAACGCCGTAGCTCCCTAAACATATTTAGTTACGCGTAGTACCGTAGTACGCGGTCCTAACTCTTGGATTCCTCTATAATAGTTGGATACACACTACAAGGCAACAATAATTATTGATATGCCATTTTACGTAAGGCAGAAAAATACCAATGAAATAGACGTAGATGTGTTTGGCTGTATCCTACTGGATTTTACGTGTCTGCATAGAATTTATGTTATTTATTTATCTCATACTATTCTAATTTGCGATATAGTATGTGATTATCATTACATATGTTATGTTAATGCTCTGGTCTCTAATAATAATAATAAATAAGAGTGATCTAGAAGATAATTTAAGACTCACGTAAAATATAATTCTGCGCTACTAGTGGCATTTCCTTGTATTTGCGAGGCGTTGACAGATTGTCCTGATGGTACACAGTTATCCCAAGACGGGTCACAAAGTGCCCATGGAAGGGTTGAACTGAAACTCATGGCGAAGTAATAAAGGCAGAGGGCAATAATGGATACATAGTAGGACATTATATAAGCTCCACCTACGGCCTGTGCATATCCAGTCCCTGAAATGATAATGAGGCACTTCCAAATTAACGTTCTTTATTTAAAATATGTCGTAATTAATAGTAGTACATTTATAAAATATATATGATAGCGCGAATTATTTCAGGTATTTTGTCATATTCTGATACATTACACGCTCATCATAGATTTGTAGCCTCAATTTTTAATCAAGGATTATAATATTTATTTATTTTACAGATTAACTCAAACTACAGGAAACATAAATTAATATAACATAAAACCTTAAAATATAATAATTAATGTAAGTAAAAAGCTCACCTTTCAGAGCTGGTGACAGAGACCACACTTTTATGCTATTGCTGTTACTAAACTGTCCCAGTACTAACTCGAGGAAATACATAGGTTTTCCCACTACTATCAGTACAATAATATATGGTATGAGAAAAGCTCCACCTCCATTCTGGTAGGCAACAAAAGGGAATCTCCAAACATTTCCTAATCCTACTGAGGTTGCAATGCAGGACATTAAAAATTCCAGTTGATTGTCCCATTTTGGTCTTTTGTTTATTCTTTCATATCGTAACTGGAAAACAAAAGGATAAGTCTTTATATAATAAACATTATCTTTTTGCCACCATACACACATAGCACCTTTAAGATACTTTTGCTAATTTTATGTACTATAGTATCAGTTCTTATCAACTCGAACGCATATTTAAATAAGGAAGTTCGCTACACTAACGCTAATGGAACGATATATAATACTCGTGAATAAGATGTTATCTCTATGTGAATCAGATGTATTAGTATCTGTTGTTTTAATTTAAAACAAAATTAGTTTTAGATTTCCTTAAAATTTAATTTTTTTTTTTTTTTTTTTTTTTTAACGATAATCTAATGGTTGCCAATTTTAAAAAGTAGGCGGCAACCAATGTGTTGCCAGATTTTTTCAATAAACGGTGATAGACCCTACAACTGTGAGCGCAAGAGAAACGATGCAAACGGATGTGCTGTAAAACATTTTACTAGTAATAAGATTGTACACGTAAAGATCTAGTATTTTTTTATTTTATTTAATTGCGTTGAGTAGGAGTAAAAGAATTAAAAAGAGGGTAAAAAGGGGGGCTTGGAGGAAGAGGCCCCCGGGGGGGGGGGGGCGCCCCGAAATTTTTTTGCGTGATAAAAAAGAACTTATTTTTATTGAAAAAATCGTGTACAGAATCGTTTCCATCCACTCTTCAGACAGTGTTTTTTTTTTGGGGGTTTTTCAAAAATTTTTAAAAAAAATCTTAAAAAAAAATTGGAATTTTTTTTTTTTTTTTTTTTTTTTTTTTTTTTCCTTTTTTAGGGGGGGGGCCCCCCCCTTAAGCATAATAATATTACTCGTGTTCAAGAGAATAAAGTTTATCGCGAAATAGTATTATTTGAAAATTACACGTAAATAAAAAATAGTAGTGGCAACATTACGTCATGCGATTGCAGCGCCGCATCTGGGGGACTTCTTTCATGAAAAGGACTATAACGATAATCTATGGTTGCCAATTAAAAAAAGGCGGCAACCAATGGTTGCCAGTTTTTCAATAAACGGTGATAGACCCTACAACTGTGAGCGCAAGAGAAACGATGCACGGATGTGCTGTAAACAAGAGTATAATGTCACGTAGATCTAGTATTTTTTTTTAATTCTTGAGTAGGAGGAAATTTTTTTGCGTGATAAAAGAACTATTTTTATTGAAAAAATCGAGAACCCAAACAAAGAAACCGGGGGGAAAAAGTTTGAAAAAATAAAATACGCGAATAATAAGTATTTAGCGAAACTTTATATGATTTATTATTATTGATTAAAATGAATATATCGTTATCAAAATCTGAGGTGAGTTATGAGAATAAATATTAACGAAGCGTTATTAACTATTTGTTTTAAAATATTTAAATTACTTATGTATTATTAAGGTAAGCTTTTTCTTTCTTTTCACATACTTAGCTCTATATTTATATACTCACTTACTAACAGTTTTCGAATATATCATATAGAAATAACATTCAAAGAAACGGAATTATAGTCTAACTAAAAGACGGGGAAAAGCCAACTGCTGTGAAATATGTATAATAATCCCACAATTTAATAATAAATTGAATAATCCCTTTAATTCTTTGATATTATATCTTGGAACACGGACACTATTCACGAAGCCTAGCCTAATAAAGATAATAAATATCTACCATTTAAACATGGTAATAAAAAAGTAGATATGTTTTTGACAAATTGCTTACTTTATCATTAGTATCAATAACGTCACGCGTCGGTGGTTCAACGACTCAGATTGTGGTAATAATTAAAGCTTTTGCAGATTTTTCCGTGATAGGGAGACGAATACTGATAGAAGGGTCATATAACTACCACGTGCCATGCCCTACTAACCCCTGCTGCTTAGTGCTTACTCCGTAACTTCCTGTAGCGACGACCGAACCCGACGTTTTTGTCTTACTTTTTGTGTACCCTCACTTAAAAGAGCTGCCCTGCGATTCTGTAACTCACTTTTCGAACTCATACAGCGGGTTTCGCATCGGCGGTCACTCTCAAATCAGTCGTGAACCAGTCATTTTATGATTTGGCATTCTGATAAACAATAAACTACAAGATCCCACCTTTTCAAAGTGAGTTTCGAAAAGTGAGTTACAGAATCGCAGGGCTGTAGGCGCTGTGATGGGTTCGCACTGAACTAAAACCTTTTATTGGAATCGAGACTCGCTATTGGAAGTTACAGAGAAAGGGCTCCTTTGGATTTTAAAATTAAGGCATGGCTAACAACACGTACCTACGTGTGCTTAAGTAAGGCCACTTCTAAGAGTATTTTAAAAGTTTTAATATATCATCTTATCATCGGATTACATAGTACATATATATGGGGTATGGTCTGTGTTTTGAAAGGCACGTTTTGTTAATTATATATGGTTTTAGTTTTAGTAAAATCATCATTGTATAATAATAATCTATCAGTCTTACTGTATTTCTATAATTTAAGGAAATTAAAGCTTATAATATTTAAGAAAATATACAGATAATGCTTCAGTTTTGAAGAGGGTCAACTCGACTATAATATGTTATCATTATAATATGATCATTTAATATTAATTTTCAGGGTTCTGGACTCTGGTAACATTTTATAATTTTATGTGAATACACTATAATCTTTTATTTAATAACACACCAATATAGAGTATTTATAATATTCTTAACCTAAATAATAATAATAATTTAAAATGGATAAATGAAAAACTAAAACAAATTTAAAAAGTTTGTTCCCTGTGGCAGTGTAGCTTTAATACTGGCAGCATTTCCTCGCTGTATTGCGATACTTATTCGTTGAGCGAGGAAAGCATCACCTCTGGGGTCAATGATACTATCTACCAAGCGCCAACTGAAATCTGTATTTAATTCGGCACGTAATTTGCCAAAATTATAGGTACGAGATGACCTGTTTAAGTTGTACCTTTAAAAGGAAATATTCCTTCATGTGCAATTCTTGTTGGCATATTTAGGAAAATCTCTCTATTCACGCGCAGGACTACAATATTTCATAGATATTTGACATAGAGTAGTTTTACGTTAATGTAGAACACAGCCAAATTGTAACCAATATGTTATGTTTGCCATAACGGCAGAACTAAGCAGATACTTTGCTATGGAACCTGCAAAACGACTTATATCAACTGAATAAATTTAATTACCAATGCTTAGTAAAATGGCAATGTTATATATATAGACTAGCTCTTATTTCAAAAAGGCCGAACCCTATAGAAAATATTCCATACAATTGTAAAAATTATCATTATAAAATTCGCCTGTGTTGCTGACCAAAGCAATATTGAAAGCAATGATTATTCATTTATTTATAAAATAATCATAAAAACTTTATTTGTGACAAATGGGTTTGTGACAGAATTCATATATCGCTAGTCCCCACACTAGGGAGGCCCTGTGTTGTGGGGAACTAGAAAACAATTATTACGTGGTACTTATAAATTATTAATAAATCAAGAAAAAAATATTAAGCGTAATTACCAATTATCAAATTATATGAGAAAATTTGGAAAATTCCACGATTCCATTGTATCAATAAACTTCCAAGGGTATTAAGATCAATAATAATTCAACGATCATTATCGTATTTATTGCATATTACCACGGCTATGAGTATCATATTCACTTAATATATTTATCATTTTATACCAAAGAATATTGTTGTCTAAACATTTCTAATTAAATAATTAGAAAACATTTTGAAAAATTAATGAATGGTGTATTTTTTATCTCGCCGTAAACATTAATGCTATTTAGTTTTATTAAATCAACCTATATTTACTAATAACTATTTACACAGTTTAAAACTGCTCTTTCCATAGTATATAAGGAAAATTAGCCGTCTTTATTTATTTCCTTACAGGGGTTTAATAGTAACAATATTGCTTAGAGTAACATTAAAGTACTGAAGTACATTAATAGCTACAGCTAATACAACAAACTAAAATATATAATATATTAAAATACGAAAAAGTTATGAACCTTAGTTAAATATATATATACCTCAGATAGTTGACCATACCAACATATATCAATTATACAACAGAAGTGATTTTTGAAGTGAAAACTTCTTTAGCGGCGTTGTACACTTTTTTTGGAATGGGTAAAAAAATGTTAAACTCGCGTCAGGACACGTGACCTGATCGAAAATTCGTAAGAAGGATGGCGCGGCGTTTTTAATGTAATATAAATTGTCATGTTTGTGTACGATAGCGCAATAAATAAATATTGTGTTGTACCACATAAATGATAGTACTTTTATACTGAGTTCTCATAAAAAAAGCATGTCTAACACAAATACGTCTCTAGCGATTTAATTAAGCTTTCTTACCCTTAACTTTTGGTCCAACTCCGATTCTTTTGTTTCGCTTACAGTCTCAGGGTTAGGATCAAATCCTTTATTATGTTGGGCCCCATTTTCTATAAAACTTGGGTTTGAACTCATCTTTTATGTCATAAACATAAAATTATTCGCATTAGTGAACCGTAACACTCACGCGCACGTTTTGATTACGATTAAGCGCTTTAATATGAAACGAGAAGTAATATAATCTCGACGATATTATCTAAATATTAAATTTATCCTATCGTTTTTTAAAACTAGTGATGTATATACTTTTATTTAAATTGTAAGAATGACACTGCATTAGCGCAATAAATATTGAAAGCTTTAAGTAACCTTATCTTGTCACAAAAAATAAAGGCTCTCGGGTGTACAAGTGCAATGGCGGTAATCAAAGATTTAAATTGGCGCCTCGTTGATAGGTTCCCCTAGAGCTGGTGCTTTCCGTCAGCATTTGACAAATGCATTATGTTTTGTTTATATTTATATATATTAACTAGCATACCGGCCAAGCGTTGCTGTGGCTAAGGTTTTTGTTATATTACATAGCAATTAACCATTTAAGGGAAACGTAAACGTATCGTGGTATTTATTTTTATTTCTTGTTTAAACAATATGAAAATAATTGTGTAAGTACATATTTATATTGTGTAATTATAAAGCATGCTTAACTGTTCACTGTACTGAGATAGAACGTTAAAGTAGAATAAGCTGGTTGTATAAAATGCTTCTCTTCAATAAGACAAAAGCGTTTCATAAACGATCTGTATTGAATAAGTAACTTGAGATTTGGTGATATTCACTTACAACTGTAAATTGAATTGGATTGCCTAGAAACTACAAACTCAAATAAAATCAAATTTTATTATTAAACCAATAAACAATAGATACTGTTATATAATTTTTAAATACTCTTTTTTTATAAAAACACAATATAATATAAATTCCTCGATAAAAACAATCACAGTCATCTCTAGATTTTATCTAATTTGGTTGTTATTCAAATATGGCGTGAATTATTTAACACAAATAAATTAAATTACAACACATTAGTTTGATCTATGCCACTAGCGATTTTATTAAATATTTTATGTTTTACGAGTCCTTAAAAAAAAGATTTGGCGCTTACGTCATTTTCGTTCCGCGAAACATTATATCGTCTAACTCACGCGAACTTGGGCCATGCATTTGTTCACCAGTCAGTCGCTGTCTGCTGTCGCCCAATAAGACGAGAACACTACGCTTCTTTGCGCCAGCTCTCGACATAATATTATTTTATCACGAGTATAGTAAATACTATTATGTACTAAAAACCATCACATTTATAATATGTATAAGGATATGTTGTATTGGACAAAAAGACTCAATGAAATTTCAAATCAAAACGCGTAAATATACTATAAATAAACTAAACAGATCTTATTTCATGATTTAATTGAACGTGATATCTATGTTGATTTATTTTACAGGATACAAATATTATTTTATTTGCCGCTATTGGCATTTTAATAAGTAGATAAAACAAATCAATTAATGATAACAACAGCTGTAAATATTACAAGAAAAAACTCGTTTATATAATTTTTGCTACAATATATATAAAATTACTCAGATATCTTGCCATTATCAAAATAATGTTATGAATCCTTTTAGTAAATATAGGGACTACCTAACTACCCTTATAAAGAAACAAATAAATAATAATTTTATGTCATAATAATATTATTGTGTCATATAGCTGAATTATAGCTATGAAATGCTTAATGATGAATAAAACGAATTTTGCTGTTTGTTTGTCTTTAGTAAAATTTGTTAATCAATTTATTTAACACTAAATTCCTAAAAATAATTTCCGAAACTAAACACTAATGAATAACAAAGGAAAATCGTCACTAAAAGAACCAGCCAATCGATTAGGGAATACAAAATATACTCGTTGCATGGCAATCTAATGCAATTCCAAACCTGTAACTGCCGAAAAACATAAAAATCAAAACATAAATTCTGAAAAGATTATGTTTTTTTTGCTATCTTTAGGCGCATTTAATAACCCATCGACACCTAGGTGGCATAATCTGAAGAATCGAACACGTTTTGGGTATAAAAAGGAATCCTGAAATTCGATTGTAAGAGGATAAGAACAGCGACGAAGACTCATACTTGCATATCGTATGGATGAACGTGGATTTTCTATAAGGCGTTAAAATATTATAGTATGAAAATGTAGATTCTTTTGTTTATACAATTAAAAAAAAAATATGGATGTGGTCTGGTGAAGCTCACCTTTTGTCTTTGGTATAGCTCATATATTTGCACATACGGCTAGTGGCTACTACTATTTAATTAACATTTAATTTTAATTAGCATAAAAACTTAAAATCGATCATCAACGTAGGGGCAAGATTTTATAGTTAAATTAAATTACCACTTATACAAATATTAATATGGAACTAAAAAAAACTTTTCTCTTAAATGGAACAGTGATTTCGTCTGAATTCGGAGCGTTCATGTCGATATCAGGATTAATTAGAGAAAATTAAATATCAAATTTTTTGTCTTATGTTTTCGCAGATGATGTCAGATGCACCAACCGATATATGTATTATATATAAAATATTATTTCGTACGATTAGTCATGTTTTGGGAAATGTCTTTAAATCATTACTTGCGTCATGATTATCGCCAAATTAAATATTCAACATTAAGATTGTGTTATCATCAAATAATCTCATTGAAATTCATGATAATTTTCGTTATCATGTTTTTCGGATCCATCGAGACTTTTGGGTATTAAAATCTAACTAAACGAGTGTGTAAGTTGACATTAGTCTCTTATGGCCCACGGCGCTGACTCCCTCAGACGAGACTGATTTGTTGTTCATGGATTATCCACGGATTAGGATTATACATATATGTTCATTTCTACATATTTACAATTTCATATACAGAAACATTTGTTCATACATTATTGATTCCCAATGATTATATATAAATACTAGCGACCCGCCCCTGCTTCGCACGGGTGCAATGCTGATACTAAAAACAGAAAAACTGTGAACGTTTTCAAAGAAAAATGTTGAAATTTTTTTATTGTGGGATATCCATAAGAGATAGACATATACCTTCGCGGAGTTTTCTGTAGACCTTTTCAATGTGTACAATACTTATTATTATTATTATTATATTATTATTTATTTATTACATTTACTTAGTACATTATTTTGATAAATCTCGTAGGGTTCAGCCTGCGTTTGCAATGTAAGCGGAAAAAAATGGAATTATTTACGACATCACATAAGAAACCTCCACTAATTAATGGATGCTATTATACATATAAACCTTCCTCTTCAATCACTCTATTTATTAAAAAACCGCATCAAAATCCTTTGCGTAGTATTTAAGATTTAAGCCTACATAGGGACAGAGAAAGCGACTTTGTTTTATACTATGTAGTGATACGACACGAAAAAGAAAACAAGAGAAAAAATATTTACAACGAAACTATAACAATGAATGAAATATAGCAATATAATAACAAAATAACATACATATTCTGTCCATATTATATTGTCAGACAAAGCAAGCGACTTTTTAAAGTCCCAACCCAGTAAATTGCTTTTATCTGACGCAGGCCTGGCATTAAATAGTTGCGCTCCCTCAAGCGTCTTTCCGTAGTTCATGGGCCAAAAAAAAGTAACTTACTCTCCTAGTGGCCCGACTGCTAATGATTCTCTTATGTATATAGTTAGATTAATGATTACACTGATGTGTAGAACTTTATACAAGAAAACACAGACATGATGTGTAAACAAATTTTGGTTTCCAAAGTTTCGATGTCAAGCCTATCAAATCGCAATTCGAATTTATAATTTGGCACTGATCTTGAGTTTTAGGCTGCTGCCTCGAATTTTGCGGGCAGCGGGGCGGCAGCGGCGGCGGCGCGGGAGCGGCAGGATCTTATGCGTAAAATTTCTAATTCTCCCGCGCCGCCGCCGCTGCCGCCCCGCTGCCCGCAAAATTCGAGGCAGCAGCCTTAGGCATAAATGCTATTATACTTCGCTAAAGTTAATTCAACTAAGAAACAAAACTTTTTGGTATTTTTAGAAGTTAGTTATGATAAAAAAACTCTTGAGCTCAACCCCAGGTTCGCACGGGAAACCAGTCACGTAAACCTTGAAAAATGATTAATTAATATACCTAAATCTCATGAATCATTATAGATATTGGTGAAACATTAATAAATTCCGTGCAATAGATTTTGAAATTATCGTGAACAGACAGACAGATAGACGCGGCGAGGGAATTCTTTTTATATAATATAAACAGTGTAGTCGTATGTTTACGAGTATTACATAAGTACATGCTGTCTCTGACTTTTTGTAGGCATCATCAGGGGTTTCTAAAACTCAATAATTATATTATATATCTCTCATCGTTAAGGCAGCGTTTTTTTCATTTTCCAGTTTAATATATAGGCTATGAATTTATATTGGTAGAAGAATTAACAAAATCGGTTATGTTATGTCCAGTATGTATCCTGTATCCAGAGTTGAGCTCCCAAAACCTCACAAACTTTACCTCTTTATAATATTAGTAGTAGATCCATGTACAGATTTTTTCTAATATTTCAAATTCCGCAAAGTTTCGCCAGTTCCATATGTTTTAATCATAACACAAGATACAAATAAAATAATATATATTGAGGGCATTTCCAACGATAAAGTTTAATGCTCAATCACTTATAGATTCGTATACTTTATCGGTAGTAATGTGACTTTGATCTCATTGATTTCAATCGCATTAAATTCCTATTTTGATGTATTATTAAAGTAGCATATCATTCAAGGACACGAGGAAATATTAGATAAACATGGCTATTAGATAGACATACAAGAGTACAGTGGCGTAACTATACCATTTGCCCGTGGCAAATCTTCTTAGTGGCAATTATTGTGATGGGGCCCTACTTTAAACTGAAAAATCGTCCCTACTCAGTTTAATTTTAATAAACTTCGAAATTTTCAGCGTATTCATTTAAACGTTGTACATATATGTCCCAGTAATGGTCCCCTAGGCCTCCTCTCTTAGGCGAGAGGGAATGGTCTGTAGTCCCCACGCTAGCCCAATGCGTATTGGAGACTTCTCATTCATCCATAGAACATAATATCTCTGGGCAGGGGACTATCTATTGGGTCAGGGGCACGTGGCATTTAGCCAGCCCTGCCACCCTATTGTTACGCCACTGCATGAGTATATAGAAGATGGACGGACGATAAATGTAGCATAAAGTATTAGAGTCTCTGAGTCAACAAAGACACGATATTTTCTTTTTATGCCTGTTACCTATATTACTAGGACATACATAAATTATATATACTTAGGTAAATAGCAAATTAAAAAATCATTTCATTGGTTTATGATCATGGTTTTACAAGCGAATTACTGTGACGTGGCCCTGACGAGATTCCTTGATCGTTTTTACCCATATAATAGTATCAACGCCAACATTTTATTAATAGATCCTGAACGTGTATTAAGGAGGCGGTGCGAGTTTTAAATGTTCCATGAGACATTTCAGATTTTTTATTCTTTTCATCTATTTATTTAACCGAATAATATAATAAAATTATAATTATACATTAGACTTTTTACTTACTTAGTATAAGTTTAATAAAATAAATAAATCAGTGGCGCTACAACCTCTTTAGGTCTGGACCTCAGATTTCTCAATCTGTTTCATGATCATTTTAAAATCTAATAGGCAAGAAGGTGATCAGCCTCCTGTGCCTGACACACACCGTCGACTTTTTGGGTCTAAGACATGTCGGTTTCCTCACGATGTTTTCCTTCACCGTTCGAGCGAATGTTAAATGCGGACATAGAGAGAAAGTCCATTGGTGCACAGCCGGGGATCAAACCGACCTCAGGGATGAGAGTCGCACGCTGAAGCACTAGGCCAACACTGCTCAACAAGTTTAAGTTAATATCTAGAAAAAAATAATCAGATTTCAAAAAAATATTCCGTGTTTTATTAGCTTTGAATATTCTGAATCTTTCTTAATACAGAAGATAGGGAGGCTGTTCCATAAATATATAATGTATGTATAATGCTATAGAGTTTCCATGCAACTAACAAAAAAAAAATTCTGGCTGGCGTAGATATAATAACAAAAGCAATCAATTCTCTTGTGTTTTTTTTTTAAATAGAAGTCATTGTATTAAATTGAAGTTCGTGCGGTAATATAATATCTCTGCTTGAAAATTTATACTACGGAGCTGGTAAATTAAGACTTCAGCAACATTAGGTTCATGCAGATGCTCCTCTACGATCGATCTCATTCTACGATTGCGTGCTGGTATGCTGAGTTCCAGCGAGAAAGAACTTCCTTGACGACGACATCCGCACGGGACGGAACAAATGATTAGAAAAGTTGAAAACATTGTCTTGGCGGATCGCCCTGTTAGTTTTTGTTTTTATAGCAGAATAAATAAGGATTTATAAAGGATGTGTCCATAATATAAACATTTGGGTATGAAAAAAGTGTCAGTGTAGAATGCTTTCTGACGCCCAGACAAAAATGACTGAGAAATTCAAAAATCTATTTTGGTTTGTTACAACACGATCTTGACCAATTTTTGGCTCGATTCATAACTATGGAAAAAACATATCATCACCATTATGACTCGGAAACGCAAAAAAACAGTCCAAGACTTGGAAGAGGGCGTCATCTCCAACTCTGTAGAAATTAAAGGCATCATTGGCTGTTTTTCTGAGATAGCCAAGGGGTGGTATTGATCGAATTCCTTAAACATTGAGCCAATGTTACGGGGACTTTGTACAGATACCGGCAAACTTCTTGAGCATTAAAAGGGTGTGGGAGAAAGTTAGCGCATCTTGGACACAAACGTTAACTGATTTACCAATCACTCGGTCGTCTCTTCATTCTCCCGCCGCCGCCCTACTCCCCTAAAAATCGCTTCTGCGCAGCAAGGACATTTGTTCAAGATGTTTGCCGGTATCTGTACGCAGGACAAATAAAAAAAGTTGCGTGAGGAAATACGCAAACTACGGTGTGGCAAACTCATAAAATTGTTTTGTTTCACGAAGATAACACCCTCGCTGAAACTCGAATAAGAGACTGGCTTCAAAGTGATGGAACATTCTTCATATCCACCGGACCAATTTTTAATGGAACAGCAGTTTTTTTTATAAAGAGAATTTTAGCTTTAGAAAAAAGATATACAAAGTTTATAAACCTAAAAGATGTCAATATAAAAAAATAGCATTTAACAAAAGATAAATACGTCATACTGATTATTTTTTTTTGAACATCGCTTCGTACCGCCTATCGCTCGCATTAGCTTACTGTTAAATAATTTGTCAGGGATAAAGTTTCGGAGAAATACTTGTAAATAGTTCAAAATTATAAATTCATAATGTTATCTATTACGTAGATCAAAGATTTCAGACCAAGGTGTTTAAGCCGATACCGATAAAATTAATTATACCTACAGAACATCAGCAGCAATATTATCTATAAAATTTAATTTGATATGCTCGGTCACATTCTAAGTACCTACCTAATTATCACTATGCTAATTATCGCCAAATTGAATTTTAAACAGTAGGTATGTGTTATCAAGTAATCATTCCTATAATCTTATTTTATATATTATTTGACGAAATTTATTATATTATGTTATCATGTCTTTAAACCATTACCTGCATGATAATTATCGTCAATTGGATAACGCTACGTGTTATCAAATAATCTTTTATATATTATTACTTTTATCTTTTCCTTTTCTCTTTAAAATCGTAATTAATTTAATGTAATGAGTCATCTGTTCGCCTATCCCCATGCTGGATGTTAATGTAAGGGATGCTTGGGGGATCACTTTATCCCTACGACGCCTACGCCTGATTAGATTGTCTTTGTATTTGGAGAATTAACTAATAAGAAAATTTATATTCACAATTGATAATCGAACTAACTTGTTTTTTTCTAAAAACATGATGGTTATGAACAGTTCCATTAAGCTTTTATTTTGGTTCTTCAATTTCTTTATATTTTAGGTCATTACATTATTGAATTATTGAAGTGAAACTTCTTTATCGAGGTTGGAAAAAAATTTAGTGTAACATTTTGGCGTTACGCGTCACATTTTTCGGTTACGCGCCATGTTGCTTTTTGAAGTCAAACTTCTTTATCGGCGTTGGAATGAAACTTCTTTATCGACGTATGGGAGAAATTTTGTAGCAAATCGTCACGTTTTTCAATGATAGTAATAATTCTATTACAATTAATGAAATTCTATAATAATCTTCGTAGTAATAAGGTAAAATGAAATATTTGTATTCATGTCTATGATAATAAAAGCCTTTTGTTAAACTTTATCTAATTTAACGAATTTCTGTTAAGTTGCATATAGTAGATCATTTTTCGAAAAATAAGATCATAAAGAAGTTTCACTTCTTACGTGTGTACACCTAGTACACGCACAATTTATTTGAATCAAAGTTTCGTTTATGGATAAGTGAAACTACATTAGTAAAACGCCACGCGACACAACGTGTCGACACCCGATGTGCATCGTGCACATTACCAACACGCGACAAACACGCTTGCAAATTCAGAAGTCATTTAGCTGACAATAGTGAAGGTGTATAGTCGTGTGCTAATTGTGCTATGGATTTAATAAATAACGAGTCAGCCCTGCGATTCTGTAACTCACTTTTCGAACTCACACAGCGGTTTTCACATCGGCGGTCGCTCTGAAATCAGTCGAGAAGCAGTCATTTTATGATTTGGCATTCTGAAAAGGTGGGCTTGTAGTTTATTGTTTATCAGAATGCCAAATCATAAAATGACTGCTTCTCGACTGATTTCAGAGCGACCGCCGATGCGAAAACCGCTGTGTGAGTTCGAAAAGTGAGTTACAGAATCGCAGGGCTGATGAAGATTTTAAAGAAGATTTGATGCAGATTTTGGGTACATATCTGATACAATATATGACCAAAATTTTCATTAAATGCTTTCAAACTGTACTTTTCAGTCTAACTGTTCAGCTTCTGTGTTTTATTCTTCTGATGTCATGTGTCAGCTAAATTAGCTAAATTAATTCTGAATTTGCAAGCGTGTCATGGTGTCGCGTGTTGGTAATGTGCACGATGCACTTCGGGTGTCGACACGTTGCGTCGCGTGGCGTTTTAATAATGTGTTTTCGCCTTAAGTCATACCTTGGTGGGAACTGTATATGAAGATTTTGGGTTCACATTTTCGTTAATTAGAGGTATTTTTACATTTCTTTGATAGCTGAAAATTCGGTATGTAAAGAGATATTTTACCTTCACTCTTATGGAAATTTCATGGGGATTACGATTTTTTTTTAAATCGTGGAAGTCGTTATATTGAGGTACGTTATATTAAGGTTGTACTGTAGTTCACTTTAAATAAATTTTATTTACAATGAAAATATTTACACAGCTTTATATAAACTTAAAATATTTTTTTTTGTCTTAAACCTATGAAACTTACGTGTACGGTTTTTAAAAAATACATTTCTATAAGATTATATAAAATCCTGATCATACAAATGTGTACTAAGAAACAATTCATAAAAATAATAAAACTTTTGATGAGAAAGCAATTACTTTAAATTTGATTACAAAATCTGCTTTGATTAAAGTCGAGTAGTATCAGTATCACTATGAGATCAGAATGCAAAACTTCATAAGATCGGAAACAACCTTTTAAATAATGGAGTAAAAAGATTAATCACATAATTATTAAATAATTGTAAATTTCATGACCTCTTGTAGCCTCCCCATAAACTCAGCCACAAGTGTTTTAGTAATGATGTATTTTGTAGCAGTCTTGCGTCCTCAGCATCATTTTTAAATGCTTGCCATTCCCGATGTATAGCTGCGCCTCTCGGTCCCCAAGTACTTTTTGAGCGGAATGCCTTCTTTATAGTCTAAAATATAATTAGATTATTAATAAACCAAAAAGTAAGTAGTACTGTAAAACTAAAAATAAAATGTGGTTTACACAAATCGATGATTTAGTTTTTATGTAAAGTTTTATGTTACCTTCCCTTGAACACACTAGTTTGCTATGGGACAGCGGTTACGTTGTCTGCTGTCATAGAACGTCACTCAAAGTTAAATCTGCTTACAAGAGCTGTCAATTTGAACTTTAAAATATTTGACAGTGCTCAAGCAGAGATTGGGACTTGAGATTTTTTTTATAGAACGGGGCAAAAGGCTCAAGTTATGTTAAGTTAAGTTAGTGTTAAGTCTGCACATGGACGGCGATTCAAATCACACTTTGCTGGATACGGTCAAGTGGAAGGAGCAGGTACTAGGAAGGTCCTGCCCAGAGGTGAGAACAGTACTCCATGTAGGGCCAACAGTACTATCATCTGCAAAGCAATGAATGTTGCTAAGTAGAAACAAGAAGGTCACCAGCTGAAGGACCACGGCGAAAGCCGTATTGACCCACGCTATGCAATTGGGGGCCCTCTAGGTACCTCAGGAACTGGCCGTTGATAATGGTTTCCACTATTTTGGAGAACAAGGAGGTTATAGCTGTCGGACGATAGTTCACGGCCGGGTAAATCGCCTTTTTTAGGAATCGGGTGTATTAAAGCCCATAACTCCGGCCAACTTAGGATCTCAATTAGGGGGATGTCATCAGGCCCGCTTGACTTATGAATGTACAAAGAAAAGATGTCCGTAAAGTCTTTACAGACATCACGTTGCCGGAATAAATCAGCATTGAACTATCACACCGCGAAATGGTCGGTGGTGCCCTACCTTGGTCATCCAAAGTCAAGTTGGACCCGAAGCCCAAAAGGCTGGCTATCTCCTTCTCGGTATGGGCAAGCGAGTCATCCTTCCTGTATAGGGGTGGAAGGCTGAATGAAATTCCCTTCCACAGCTTTGATGAGAGACCAGAAGGCTCGAGTCCCCGAAGGGAGGGGGTTAATCTTTCACCAAATCTGGCATTGTGCTCAGATTTTGCTCTAGCAATCTCCTATTTGAAGGACTTATGTGCCTGTGAGTTTATATACTTTTTAAGTCCGCCGGTATTGTCATCTCGAGATGTCACCGCTTCGCGCATTCTTTAAAGCATTCTCGCATTCGACGCGAAGCCGCCTTACAAGAACGTTTAAACCAGGGTTGTGACTTTACATCCATCGGCACCGCAGAAAATAAAATAATGAGTTCAATTCAGAAGAAGGTCCAGCGAAAGGTCCAATTCACATTGTATATCACCATCCACATTTGGTATTCCCTTAATTGCGGAGACCATTTGCGTCAAGTCATATGCCAAATCAAAGTTATGAAACGACCTACCCGCATGATCGGTAGTTTCAGAGCCGAGCCAGTCGGCATGGTGGGCGTTAAAGTCGCAAAGTATCACGATTTCGGCGGGCGGGACTTTTTCGAGAAGGGAATCAGTAGCCATTTGGATGTACTCAACGAGCCCGGTCAGTTTCGGCATTTCCGCTATGGGACATAATATAGAAGCACGCGTAGAATCGCGGATAGTCTCTCTTCTCCAGGAATCTCACTCACCGCACGAAACGCGAGTACAATAAGATGAACCTATTGCATCACTTCACGCCGCTTCTCTATGAGATTTTTCTGAGGCTGCCCCGGCCGTGCCTGCCTCTTTGAGGCCCGAAATCAACAGCATGGCACTCCCACTAGGAAGAGGGCTAATTAATTGCACTTGTAAAATAACCTCTGTCACAGGTTATATTACCAGTGGGCGATGGGGTCGTTACCTCCCGATGCCAAAATGATGCTGGTTGGATTACATGTCGTTCTTTGTTTCCGACGTGATCAACACAATTGCAAATTTTGTAAGAATCTCTAAATTAAAAATGTATAAACTTTTCCTTTTTACACTTTTTTATGGCTTTCTAAAGTTATTTTTAATTATCACCTAATTACATTTTAATTTGTTTATTTTCAATATCTATCAAACAAAAGTTGTAAAGTTAATTTAGGAAACTAACCGTAATTATTTCACCAGTGTTGTACTTGAGCATGGTGACGACAATAAAACCTAGTACGAAGAATATCCCCGCAGCCAGCAACAAGTAGCCGGCAACTGTAACAAACAAAAGACATTAACAAAAAACTGGGAATGCTATACATTCTAAATTATATAATTGAAAATGACATATATATTCTCACGGTGCACAGAACAGCCTTGCGATTCTGTAACTCACTTTTCGAACTGTCACAGCGGTTTTAGCAGCGACGGTCGCGCTCAAATTATATAATTCAAAATGACATATATATTCTCACGGTGCACAGAACAGCCTTGCGATTCTGTAACTCACTTTTCGAACTGTCACAGCGGTTTTAGCAGCGACGGTCGCGCTCAAATTATATAATTCAAAATGACATATATATTCTCGCGGTGCACAGAACAGCCTTGCGATTCTGTAACTCACTTTTCGAACTGACACAGCGGTTTTAGCAGCGACGGTCGCGCTCAAAGCACTCATTTTACCATTTGACATTCTGATAAACAATAAACTATCTGTTCTTTTCATCGCCTGACATGTAAACAATTCTAACGAATACCATTTTGCAATAAAATTTTAGTAAATTAAAATTAAGTTAAATAAATTTATTACTCACCATGCGCAGATGTAGGATAGTAATAAAATCCGCCAAAGCGGAGTGCTTCAACTGTCACAAGAGCGTATATGAAGACGATGATCATAACAGCTGGTGTGACGAGACCCCAGCAGAAACGCCAGTATATTGAAGATCTCTTACCTGACATAAACTCTATATCTAGACATAGGTTTTCTAACCCTGAAAAAACAATTGTTGATTGTATTATACTTATGTGACTACAGACAGTATTCTGACTCATGAAATCTTAATTCTTAATGGGAGTTTTGGGATTTTTTCTTTCTCTTGGAAACGATAATTTTATTATATGTTGAATTCTTATTGCTAATATTTTCATGTGGTATGCTATTTATATCGCTATCATATTTTTTTTTTATGTTATTAAACTAATGTTACTCTATAGCGCGCCATAGACGGACCGCATGTTGCAGTCAAGACCGACTGCAATTTGCGGTTTGCTCAGGAATGAATATATGCGAATATGAATTTAGTATGGAAACTGCAGATCGCCGTGCGGTGACCGCTTAGAGCAGTCGGTATCGGCTGCAACATGCGGTCCGTCTATGGCCCGCTTATGAAGTTTAAAACCATTTAATTTAAATTTTATATCAAAAAGATGACGAAAAATTCCTTTAAAATAATTGCACACGCAAAGAAGTTAATTAAAAGATAATAATCCGAAAATTGTTGCTGAAAAACATTCATGGTATAATAATAATATATACGTATATTAATATTGAGCTGCATCTTATATAATGATGATACATATTTGCTTGATTTACAAGTTAAAACTAAAATAAACTTTACTGTTGTTTTAAAAAAAAAAAGGATATTTTTACCGTATATCCAAAATACGCCGACAGCTTCCACAATACCACAGAATAGGATCAAGAACGTTCCACCGTAATGATCCACCAGCTCCAAAAGGAATTGACCACCCTGAAATCAAAGTCGAATTGAATATCGTCCTTTTAGCCTTAGAGGTGTCTGCACATTACACGTTGCTTTTATCGATTGCGACAGATTTGCTATTATAATTTTGGCAGGTTATAGGAGTAGGCGAAAAAAATGATTACTATTTATAAGTATTGATATATGTGGCCTAATAATGTAATGATATAATTTAAACAAAATCAATAAAATATAATAAGAATGCCTAGCTGTTTGATCAACTGGCTGAATATCTTTCAGGCCGCTTGTTAAACGGCGCTGTTTAGTTAAAAGGCTAGGCTGCTAATTGAACGGCGTATTAAGCTAGTTGCATGCGACACATATATCCCTATCAGTTGATGTTTCAAAGAAATTGAATTATCAATTTTGCGATGCCGGCCACGCTCCTCTGGACTACATAGAGTATTATGGTGCTTTACTTACTGGAGTTGTATAAATAAGGCCGACAGCGAAACCACCAGTGCACGATATAGCTGACATATATACAACGGGTACACGGGGAAAGGCATCCATCAGTAACGTATTAACAACTGACAGCAGAGCTACGGCTGAGCCAACTCCAAGAACGGTCATCATAAGGAAAAATAGTATCGAGAATAACTGAAAATAAAACATAATAGATAAATTAACGAGAGTTATGTTATATATATAACAATGGCCAACCAATTTAGGTCTGGGCTTCAGATTTCTGTATATCTTCCATAATCATTTCTATTAGGCAAGTAGGTGATCAACCTTCTGTGCCTGACACACACATTGGACTTTCTAAGGCATGCCAGTATCCTTACGATGTTTTCCTTCACCGTACGAGCGAGTGTTAATGCATAGATAAAAAGTCCATTGGTGCACAGCCGGGGATCGGACCTACGCATCGCACGTTGAAACCACTAGGTCAACACTGTACTGCCGCCGATTAATGTTATAATATGGTCTAAGATCCCGATATACAATGACCTTCACCGAGATGCTTATTTAATGAAACGTATTTTATATTTAATTTAATATGTCAATAAATATAATCCATATGGGTTGCCTAGCAAATTTCAGTCCAGAGTATTTTAATTAATATTAAAAAATAAAAAAATATTTTTTTAAACATTTCACCGGTATGATTATTAGATAAATTCTATACCAATCGAAAGTATGAAGCCCATAGAATATGCAAACGTTAGGTTGTTTTTAATCAATTAATTATTTATGTATATTTTTTATGTGACATAAAGTATTTAAACATCTTTTTTAAAAAAGAGGTTTATGTAGTAAAAAAAAAAAAAAACCCCCCTTAAAAAAAATTTTTTAAAAAAAAAAATTAAATAAAATTAAAAAAAAAAAAATTTTTTTTTAAATTAAAAAAAAAATTCTGGGGAGAAAATTTTTAGCCCCATGGATTTTTAAATAAGCATCTCGGTGAAGGTCATTGTATATCGGGATCTTATACTAATACTAGTATCATTAATATTACCTGAGGCTGAAATGTTTTGGTGATAGCATCAGGATATGAGACGAACGCGAGACCAGTACCTCCAGAACCGATAACTTCGCCAACATCTTTATCAAGGACGTAAGCCAGATTGCCCAGAATACCAAAAATTGTAATACCTGACAGTAGACTTGTAAAAGTATCTAACGTTGTCACTATCATGGCATCCCTAAAAATAAACCCGGTTAATAAATAAATAGGTAAATACAATGTAACTAAAACTAGCTAAATTACTTTGCTTGTACATTTTTTTTATTCAATTCAAATCTGCGTAAATACTCTCAAAGTTACTTTCTTTTATTTTAATGCTTTCCTGACTCAACGAATAAAAATTCAGCGAGGAATGCTGCCTGCCACAAGGACCAAACTTTTTACTTCGTTTTAATTTTCTTTTTAATATTTTTTAATTATTTTAATTATTACTTTATGGGTTAAGAAAATTGTAAATACAAATTATACGAATAAATAAATATATTTAAAAGAAAATAAAATTAATTTTCAAATTATATAATATTTTATAACCTGCATTTTAAGCAAGCTTTTTAAGTTAATTTAAGAAAAATAAAATATTAAAGCATCATTACTTTACTAAATACATATGTGGCGTTGTACTGTTATGGCCGTAGTTAGCTGCTTTTAACCTAATAAAATGTTTTCTTTATTTGTGATTGTTCTTTTGCAATAAATCTTCTACGTCTAATAATTTCTCCCGCTACTGACCTGTATATATTTTGCCTGAAGTTGTTATAAGATGAGAACATAATGATGGTTCCAGTGCATACGGAGAGAGAAAAGAAAACTTGAGTTACGGCGGCATACCATACCTGAAAATGGATTGCAAGGTACATATTTAAATGTATAGAACAATCATATCATATCATTTAAATCATAGTTTGGTTACATTTATAAAAAGCGGTTTTCTAATGTAACAAATTATGATTTTATCATATTATTCTGTAAAATAAATAATTTAAAAAAATCTTTAACATAAACGCGAATATTATTAATAAATTGATGTTAAAAGTACTTTTCTGCAATCGTGGTGAGTGAAATTGCCTCAGTTACCAGATATTATGATTAATAAAAATATTGCCATATTAGCGCGAATATATTTGGGATATTCTAGTGGATTTTTACAAAAACGTTTAATCGTATGCCGTGTGTGAGTTTTTGTTATGTCTTAGCTAACATACCGAGAACTTTTGTGTCTGAATCAGCCTTAATATTTTAAAAATACAAGACAGACTTATTTTTTCCTATATTCATTTCATAATTCATTTTTCACATTAATAAAATTTTAGATAATAAAAAAATATAATATTACTTTCCGACTACGTTTTCCTATTAGAATGAACAGTATTGTACATTACTTTCAAAGCGAAATGTCAATATTACGTAATATGATTATTATTAAAACAATTCCAAAAGACAAGATCACGCCTTGTCACCTATATTTTATGTAAATATCTTTATATATTGTGTTAATATGCTATAGTCTTTATTTACGTTAGTTATTTATATTTATTAGATATATGTGAAATATGTATGTTCCACATATATCTTCAGAATTAACTTTTCAAAGCCATATATTAAAATTTCTTTAGTTTTAAGATATCTAAGTCCTAATTTGTTGGTTCCATAATTTCAAATGATGTCTTGATTTGGATTTGAATTGTGGAATTTATTTAAATATATAACTTAATTTAACGTCTTAATGATTGACTCTAAGCACGGGAAAATAGATGTACGGAAAAAATATAAGGTTGTCCTTGTTCGTGTGCGTGGTAACCACTTAAATTCCATGGGATTGGTACATTATTAAATATATCCATGTTAAATTCTATTCAGACACGTTATAGAATTGCGTAACAAATTATTATACCTACTGTCATATTCATACAACATTGGTTGTTTACATGGATAGATTCTCACCTTGAGTTCTAAAATTTTATCCCATTGCGGTGTTATAAAGAACAGTATTCCGTCGCCTGCTCCGGGTAGTATAACAGTGCTGAAAATTGAATTAAATATTTATGATATGGAATGAGGTTCTTGACAGCCTCGATGTATGTAAAATAATGCGAAAAAATCTTTCCAAAGATATTCATTATGAATGTTCAGAAATATTTGCAGACGTTTACGAATGGCAAATGGAAATACTAGCACGTCCCGATGCTAGAATTTACCATTCCACGAAATGAGACGATTCTTCAAGAGTCAACGTTAATTATAATGATTAATGATTTGCCGTAATCATTATTGGTTAGTTATGCGGTTTAAGTTGATATAATAATATATTTACGTTCGACAACAAAAACACATGGTTGCTATTCGTACTGATGCTAGTCCCACAATATGTAACCTGTTTTGTGGGTGACTCACTCTTTTGTGGTACATATTTAAAGGTCATAAACGGTAAATGGTTTTCAAAGAAAATTTATTATAATTCTGTACTTACGTTATCATCAAAATTATCATGACAACGTAGGGGAACAACGCGAGGAAGTACGCAGCTTTTCCAGAGCTTTTCACTCCTCTTGATACGATGAGGAAAATTATAAACCACGATGCCAGCAGACATAGCACCAGATACCAAATAGGCATACCTGCAATTAATGGCCATGATATAAATAAAAGGTCAAATGATAGATGAATCGTGTTTTGAATTGTAAATATTGCGTAATACATTTTCATGAAAAAAGGCCAAAACTCTGTGTGGCCAGGGGTTTTCAAAACAATTTTTTTATTCATTTATTTTACAGAATAATAGAATCTAAATAATTGTATAATACATTTGAAAACCACTATGGATTGTATTAATGTAACAATAGCAGTCTTGTCAGGAGCGCGACAAATTCATATAAAAAAATATTTCTTTAACTTGTTTTATAACATTCTGTCACCATACATGTTGTTTTACTCTCGAAGTACAGGCCGCTCTTGCGTAAAGGTGGGAACTGACCAAAGTTACGAGGTGTAATGTAGCATTCGCATCGAGCGTGTTACGCATCGAAAATGTTACGCTGTGTTTTAAAATCGGCGTAACACGCTCGTCAAAACTTTGTGCTCCGCTTTCGCCGCAAGTGTTCACAGCGACAGCGAGGATGCGTGGGTATCTCTAATTCTACTTAATTTTTGTTTCATCCAAATTAAGAAGAAGAATAAACGTTACTGGACATCAAACTTATTTAAACACAGAGGCGTATGTGGTGGTTTGTCATTGATAGCAATTAACCAAATGATTACTGTACAGTATAAAAACTTTGTACGCATGTCTCCGATCGATTTTGAACAACTCGTGAATTTAATAATGACATAAAAAAACGAGTGGAGCATGACGTACAGACCCGAGTGGTAACGCAAGTTCAGCTCTGTACATCAAGAGCAAACAACATATACGGTGAGAGAACGTTTAGGTATTTGCTACCGCGGCTAATAAATGGTCTACCTGATCAGATATTAGATTGCCTAACGCCAACCAACATAAACAGCGGTTTTCGTAACTTATTATGATTGTATTATATTTTTTTTTTGTAAAATAAAGAAATTAAAAAAAAAATTGTTATAATGCTCTGGATGAGCTGGGTTCCACAACACTTCCTCTTTTATACAACATTTTATAGAAAAATACAGAGATTTTTCTTTGTCCCACTCCATGTTTTAAGAAATAAATACGAGAGGAACGCCGTGTGATTACTCGCGACGCGCGTTTGCTCGGGACGCCTTGCAAGAGCGTACTGACCGAACCACGTAACAGTCAAAGGATTCGCCAAAAAACCGACAGCCGAGTGGAGCACTCAAACCGAGCAACGAGCGGCTCGTAGCTCGCTGGTTTCCCCGTAACACGACGTACTGACTGCATGAATGCTCGCTGTGTAACGTGTTACATTACACCTCGTAACGTTGGTCAGTTCCCACCTTTACAGTTCGGGTCTGTACGTCACGCTCAATTCGTTTTTTTATGTCAACAAAGTTCAAACAGTGCAACTGTTTAGTTTATAAGAATAAGGGGGTAGGTTTACATTATATTTACGTATATAATCGGAAATATACGCGACTCAACGTTTTCAGAATAATTATAGTAATTAGATTTACATTAAAGTTTTTCATGTTCTTACCAATTCCATGATCAATGTCGTCGCTTCTTTGCAAAACAGTTTTTCTGAAACGAAAAGTATTTTTTTGAGATAAAATATGTATAAAATTTAAGATATCTACGTATCGCAATTAATTACTATTATTGTAAAGATTAGATTGTATGTAATCATCCGGATCTGGCTCCAAAATCTTTTCTGTAGATTTTCACACGCTACCAGTGTTGACTTAAATTTAAAAAAGAGGCTAATAGATTTCTTCAATCTCTTTTAGCGGTAATAATAGATGGGGTATAGAGTAAGGAATATTTTTGTTTCATTCTTCAGCCGAGAAGGTATGATATATTTCCTTACAATGTTTTCCTTCACCATTTGAGCAAGTGTTAAGTGCGCATTTAGACGGAATAATTCCTTTATGCACAGCCAGGATTTGAAGGCGTTGCGTTAGAAAAAAATCTCAGAGTTGACAATGTAGGGTATGTAAGATTAAGTTAATAGGTACAAGTCTGGAGAAAACTATTGGTTTTAGATTTCCATGATGCAAGAGTGCAGAATAGGTGGGGTATGGGCCAGACTGCGCGAGATATGGCTCCAGTCAAAATCCACTTTTATAAAACCTAAGGGTAACGTTCGCCTTAAGTTAGAATAAATCATCACTTACACAAAATACAATTCAGCACTGCTTGTTCCATTTTCAGTGCTATTGAGATTTTCAGTTTGTCCCGAAGGAACACAGTTATCCCACTCTGGCTGGCAGACAGCCCAAGGTAATGTTGACGTGAAACTCATTGACAGGTAATACAGGCAAAGCCCTACGATAAGCACATAGTATGATAGAATGCAACTAGTTCCAAGTGCCTGCGCATATCCAGTACCTGGAATTAAGGATATTTTATGTAACGCTCTATAAGAGTGTTAGTCGAGTATAGTTGACGTTTTTGGGTCTAAAGCGGGCCATAGACGGACCGCATGTTGCAGTCAAGACCGACTGCAATATGCGGTCGACGCACGGCGATCTGCAGTTTCCATACTGAATTCATATTCGCTATACACGAACCGCTCGAGCAGTTCCTGAGCAAACCGCATATTGCAGTCGGTCTTGACTCCAACATGCGGACCGTCTATGGCCCGCTTAAGGCATTCCAAAAATTCGTTATTCTGCTATTACTTTTGTAAAGCATGATCTTCTATATTATTATTACCGGTTTATGATATCTAGATAGAACTACCAAATTATTTAGCTAAAGCTAAAACTTCTATTACATTATTTTTAAGTATATTAAAAATAATGTAACAATACCTTTCATTGCCGGTGACAACGACCAAACTTTAACAGAGTTTTTAGAGCTGAATTGCCCCAAAACACACTCCAGATAGTACATAGGTTTTCCAATAAGAAATAGGACAATAATATAAGGGATCAGGAAAGCTCCACCGCCATTTTGGTACGCGATAAAGGGGAATCGCCAAACGTTGCCAAGTCCCACGGAGGTGGCAATGCAGGACATGAGGAACTCGATTTGGTTTCCCCAAGCTGCCCGCTCGGGTTCATCGTCCTCGACGTCTTTAACCTGGCACAAAAGATATGTAATTTACTAAATTAAGTTCTGTTATCCTAAGTAATCCGATTATACGAGAATTTTCGACCCGTATTCATTGTTGCGCAGACTTATATTATAAAAATTAAAGATTTATATAGCCTGTGTCAGAAGCCAATTTTAGGCGTGCAGAATCCTATCGATTATACGACCTATTGAACGAATTGTTGCGTCATTAATTGCTTTTAATTGATTCTCTGAAAATTTTTGAAGTTATTCTTTTGGCGCGTTAGGGAAAAATGAGAAATTTTTACGATGCGCGTGCACACTGTCACAAAAACTGACACCCACACACCGTCGCAAAAAAACCGACACTCTGAAGTTAGCATAGTGTTGACTATGCTAACTTCAGAGTGTCGGTTTTATAATAAAAAATGTCAATTTCTTTAATTATGTAGAAATATTTTTTTGTGATATTTAAATAAACTTTATTTAACTAGATAATGCGTTATAATAAAACTTTCAATGTATTAAATACCTTTTTTCTATTGTTAGTGTAATTTTTTCTACAAACGTAGAATATAAAGATAAGAGCGAAAGATAAATTATTTTAAAAAGATTTTTATCTTGTAACGCCAAAGAAGTATAACTTCTAACGCGTGTACATAAGTACACACGCATGTTTTTTATTAATATTTGCTTTACTTTGAGCTGTGTATAAAATTAATAAGTTTCATATTATGTTGTTATTACTATGCTTGTTTATGTTGTAATACATATCGACGTTATATATCTAATACGCATATCTTTCAGTAATAATTCCTTGGAAAATAATAGATATTATATATATTAACCTCGATTGAGTATTATTAAAATGATATTGAATTATGATATACATTCTTAAAAAACGTTATCGTAATTTTATATTTTCGATACATAAAAATATGTCCTACGTATAATTTCAAAAGCAAATATTTTACTATATAAGAGGGGGGAAAAAAAAAAATGTGGGGGCCCCACGTGTCCATGATACCTTAAAATAATAGAAAATATAAATATATTGGGGTTTTTAATTATTTTTTTTTTTTTTTTTTTAAAATTTTTTAAAAAAATTTTTTTTTTTTTTGGTAAAAAGATTTAAAATTTTTGGTAAAAATTTTTTTTGGGGGGGGGGGGGGGGTTTTTTTTTTTTTTTTTTTTTGGGGGGTTATCGAAATTCGTTGATGCAAATATTTGGCCTAAAAGAAGACGTACTTTTTTTCGTTCAAGTTTTATTTTGGGGGGGGGGGGGGGGCCCCCCTAAAGGGTAACGATCTTCCCCTAAGTATGAAATCACCACGTTTCATTAATTCATTCGAGGTTATGGGGATTTTTTGAACGTTTAAGTATTGGTACTCCGAAATCCGAAAATCTCGAAGCGATAGAAATGGGGAGTTTTAACGAAAGTTCTAGTGTGATGTGGGGATGGAAACTGATCAGAAACATGGGACGTTTATAGGGGTTGTTGATTTTTAATCTTTAAATCTTTGGTGTATAGTTAACTTTCTTTATTCCCGGGAAGTATTTGTTTCAATACCATAATATGAGCACAGATATTCTATACGTTTTCTAACACAACAATGACGTGAAACTCTTTTGTTAGTCTAGTCGACAAGTTGAAAATGGTACAAAATAGAGATTGTGCTTTTTTCACTGTGTGTTTTTTTCACTTACAATTAAGACGGTAGTTCGAGAAAATTTCGTTAGTTAACAATTGTTTAACTTGTTGAAAAATTAACTTTAAGTAAAATTTCCAACGGGAATAAATTAATTATAGTGTTCAGAACACACCATAATTTTTTCAAATGTAAATAAAATATTCAATACCTTAAATAAATTAATTAATGTGCCGTACTCGCTTCTGACGCCACGCGCGCATCCTAAAAATGTCACGCGCAGACCTATTTTCAGCGTTAAATTAAAATTATAAATAATGGAGATAGAGTTCCGGGAGTTAAGAGTTTTTTATTGGAAATTTCCTCCTCTTTCAGAATCTTTTTTTGAAATTTTTAAATATTAATAGTTTATTAAATATTGGCAAAAAACGAAATGACATTTTTTTTCATCTTTAATTGTTTATAACTTTTGCATTTTTTTATGTGCTAATACACGCTTTTGGCACATTTTTCTAGACATCATTCCGGATCTAATGAGCTATCGCACATAATTTTAAGAGCAGTATCTCTATTTTGTACCATTTTCAACTTGTCGACTAGACTATGTTACATAACTTCGGTTTTACGTATTGTTTGTACTAAAGAAAGTTCTAGAAATGTTCAAGATTTTGAGAAAAGTTAACTATACTAGGATATAGGCCTTGTAATAAGTCAACAGTAGAAGATATTTTGCACCTTCTGTAAAATATCTCTCTCCCTAAAATATGGCCAGGGGGCCGATGGCTGGCCATGCGTCATACTCGTGAACGGGTGCTACTTGTGGTGACTGGTCGTACTTGAATTCGTGTATGGAGTGATGTTAGTTATTTTGACTATGTATTTGCGTGTTTTTCCCACGAGAATGTAAGTGCATGCTGCTATTTCACCATGCCTCCTGCTGATAGAGGACAAATCTTTGTTTTAAATTTATTTTATTATTATTTATTACTTTATATATCATGTGGAACATGGTGTAATGGTTGCAGCTCCTTACAAACGTTGTGTAAAACAATAAAAATTGGCGATTAAAAAGACTGGCGGAGAGTTTATTGGCAGTTCTTCTCTTCCGTTCTACGCCCTTGATTTGAGAACTGGCAGTTAATGTAAAATTAGAAGCATTTGTTAACTAAACATATGAATAAATGATTTTGACTTTGATATTTAGTATAAAAACAAGAACACATGGTTAATATTTAAAGACATCACTGTATCATGACACTGGGTTAGACTAGATAGATTCTACCGTGGTACATATATAACGGTGTTTAACACTTAATTTATTTTGTGCAAAAAAAGATCACACAAACAAAATGAAAAATAAAATAAATAAATGTTAATGAAATTAATGTTTTATTCACACGTTAATGACCCCTGGGATAAAAGACAAAACAAAAACAATTTTATTAATCCATTTTATAGGATTATAGGATTACATCACGTAATTAAAAATGTTTGTCATGTTTATTTATTAACAAAATGCCTCGAGACTGATAAGGACTCAAACGTGTTCTGTGTATCAAATAACATTCAACGCCTATTTAATGCACACAGCTTTTATGAATAGTGGTTAATTTTCAGAATAATTTCAGTGAGGAGTATCTACGAACTTTAGGAGACTCTTTAACTTATAGCCCAGGCAAAAACGTTAAAAAATACTGATAGACGATGTTTTTATTTTTGTACGACTGTATGAAATAATAAAGTCATAAAATTTAAAAAATTATGCGTGCCTCACCTTATCTTGTTCGTTTTTGGGTGGATCATTTCCTGCTTTGCTAAAGCCATCATTATCAAATCCAACCTTACTCGATTCCATCTGAAAACATTAATTTTATTAATTAGCCTATGTATGCGTTTCTGTTTCACATAATATTTACCTTACAGCATATTATGCCAAAAGTTTAAAACAAAACGACCATATGAACAAATCGCAAATGTATTATTTTAAAATTCGTCTTTTAATTCTCTTTTTTATTGAAATTTTAATATTATCAGCCTAAAAATGTATCATATTCTTTTAATCTAATATATAAAATTCTCGTGTCGCGGTGTTTGTAGTTAAACTCCTCCGAAACGGCTTGACCGATTCTCATGAAATTTTGTGTGCATATTGGGTATGTCTGAGAATCGGACAACATCTATTTTTCATCCCCCTAAATGTTAAGGGTTGTCCACCCCTAAATTATGATTTTTTTATTTTTATTTTTTTTATGATACAACATTAAAAATAAATACAACCCCTAATTTTCACCCCTCTACGATCAACCCCTATTTTTTATTTTAAATTATATACATGGCAAAACGACGGTTGCCGGATCAGTTAGTATAAATAGAATGTTCTTAATAGACTTGTGTCAAGCTACTCAAAGCCGCGTATTTTAATTTGCTTAATTCCTGTTTCTTGCTGAATTACTCTGTTAAGATATATGGGGAAGAGTCCTGGACGCATAAAAATACTATTAACAATGTAAACCAATTATAAATTCTAAACAATCTAGGAATGTGATTTGTTTTATGATGCCTTCTAAATATAATTTTCATTTTTTTTTTATTAGAACAAAAGATAAATTTTATTATCCCTGAATTTTATTATTTAAATATTAAGATATAAAATTAGCACGTGATGCCTACCTAAACTTGATAAAACGTGATAAAACTTTCAATTACATAGTATAACTAAAGGTTATGAAAAATTTCTGAACTAAAACTACTTTATTTTAAATTACGTTAATTTATTTCTGACATGACATTTTCGTCTGATATTGTTCTTTGAATATTTAGTACCTATGTATTCTAAACTAGAGGTGAAATGTTGAAACCCTTTAAAGTTATAGCTTACGTATTAGTTTTACAAATATGTATTAATTATTTAAATTAATTAACGGAAAATATACAAAACTATACACAACTTGCATGGATTTGTTTGTGAAAATTAATCTGTATAAATATACACAAAATTATTTTTTTAATCTAACAGGCTTCTTTTAGCGCATGCGTCGAAAATTCCTTAAATCTAATCTACAATTGTTTATTATATAAAATCCATTATTATCAGAATTTGTACTTTTTATCCCCGATAAGCAAATAACCATTACATTACATACAACAATGTCATTTATGACGTTTTTATCAGATATAAAAATTAATTTATTCTCACCCGATGTATATAAACTTCTGTGTGTGTTTGTAATTAAACTCCTTCTAAACGGCTGGACTGATTTTGTTATATTTTTGTGATTGTCCAAGTGCATTCGAGAATGGTTTAGCTTTATAAATATTTGATTTTTAAAAGTTTGAATTTGTATTTAACACGCGTGTACAGGACGTCTGTCGGGTACGTCGGTAGTTTTAAAAAAAAATTTAAGTCTGTTGTAAATTCCATGTTATATTTTGGAAAATAAGTTCTATAGATATCATATTACGCCTTAATACTATGATAATGATATGATATTTTATCGATTGTCTACGAACGGCGTAGAACCCTAACCATACTTCTTTTTCAAAAAGTGTTTCAGTGTTATATTAATCAACTTGGGTCTTATTACTCGTATACGGTTACTAGCTGACCGGGCAAACGTCGTTTTGCCATGTATAATATCATTTATAATAAAAAAGTAGGGGTTGATCGTAGAGGGGTGAAAATTAGGGGTTGCATTTATTTTTTAATAATAAAAAACAGCAAAAAATATCTAAAAATAAAATATTTAGGGGTGGACTACCCTTAACATTTAGGGGAATGAAAAATAGATGTTGTCCGATTCTCAGACATACCCAATATGCACACAAAATTTCATGAGAATCGGTCGAGCCGTTTCGGAGGAGTTTAACCACAAACACCGGGACACGAGAATTTTATATATTAGATAATTAATTCCTTTGCTACTATTACTCTTCCTTTGGATAACGTAATTCAAGAGATTTTTATGAATCTAAAATTATAAAAGTTATAACGTTCTGTAATAACATTTCTAAACAAAGCGTTAGCGCATTGTACAAAGAACGCTTTGTTATATGGTTAAACGCTAATTATTCTGTGACACGGCGTGGTTTATTATGTGGCTCGTATATTACGTGACATTAAATATAACAAATATATTAAATTCTACAGTCACTCTTATTTGTTCCAAGAAGTTATTCGCGAAATCGGAAACATGTCAAACTTTATACTACCCATATCATAATATAAACTGGTCACTTACTCACAAAATATCACACACTTTCGACTTTTGACAAAAAATTCAAACTAAACTACCAATTTCTGAATGAAACTAATTTAGAAATTTAAAACAATTAGCACCATTGTCTTACCATTTATTTTTCACGTAACCTTATTTATATATTTGTGTATGGCGGTTGACGGTACGACACACTAAATGAAAGCGTTATATTTTGTCCTTATATAATTAGACTTCAGTTATCTATGACGGAGCATATCGACGGAGCTCTACATGGTAAGGGAAAGACATCCTATGAGAAATCACCGTACCACTACACAACCGTACTGTGAGCGTACTACAATTGCCATGTATGTGACTAAGGAAGGTTGTTACTAAACATCAAACAAGCCGGCGTCTTTTCACATTAAGTAACTTAACACTTGCCTTGCATTGTAATACTCCAGTGAGTAACATAGCCTTTAAATAACATGGAAATTAGAAGGAAAAAGCGAAACGTTTTATTTTCAAACTATACTTTTGAAATCTCGCTCCAGTTTTAATAAATTATCTACAACTAAAATAACGTAGATACAGTTGCAATGCGGTATTTTGAAGAATATATGTAATATGTACTTAGAAAATATTAACACAAAGTGAATTTTATGATTCAAAAGTCATGTATTCAAAATGTTGTAACATTTATTTTATACTTTGTTTTGTAACTAAAAAAATGTTTGTGGATTATATAGACAGATAGTTTTATTTATATATTATAGGCCCTTAAGGCCAACAGTTCAGCTTCAGCTCAGCTCGGCAGTTTTGACGATGACGACATAGAGGATTGATGAAAAATATATTATATAAGAAAAAATGAAATTTACTTTGGCTTAACTAGAGAATACATCTACTGTCTGAGAAGAAACTGCTTTTACCAGTAAGGCCGCCCATCTACATCTTTTATTTTTTGTCCCATTGTGTGAAATAAATAAAGTGTTATTATTATGTACCAAGTTTTAACGATGTAGTCCTTATAGCGAAATAAAGGCTGTGGCATACAGCCACACAGAGATGACGAAACTAAAATGATTTCGATTTTTGCCATTAAGCAACGGAACTATAAAAATTTTTAGTTTATTGCTAATCGAATTAATAACATAACTCGCTCGCGCGATAGTTCACGCTCTTTTATATTTATTTAATTTTTACATTACGTTATATTTTTATTATTTTTATTACGCGAGTAGGTCACGTAAGCCAAAGACTGCTTATACCGTATGTTGTTACATTTCCTTGAAAATAACGTTCGTTAATCGCAAGTTGTAGGTATTTAGGACAATTTATCTAAAATTAAAGATATAGAAGGACTAAACACGATATCTTTGTGATAAACATAATTCAAAGGTAGAATAAATTAATCATAATTTAATCATTAAGGTAGACAATTTTATTATTATTATAACTGTATCTAATAGAAAATATATAGGTATTCATAGTAATAGAGACAATAGACATAAATTGTCTTTGGTAGGGTGACAGTTGGTTATGGCATTTAGAATTAATGACGTTTTGCCATTAATGCCAACTTGTTTTCCCCCCAAATTTAGAGGGAAACTAGATGTCTTTGGGGGTTTTTAGAAGCTACATTAATTAAGGGGGATTTTTAATGGGTACTTTATACAATATTTCTTTTAGTATTGTCTTTTATTGACATAACTTTCACACATTTGATAATAAAACACATAAATCACCGTGACCAAGCACGCGAAACGTCGGTTAAATTTAAAATTATGAAAAATAATTGTGAATACATAACTTCAATCCGGTAAAAAATTGTTTTATCATCAATATTTCTTTTTCTTAAAAAACGCACGATTCTATACAAATTATTTTAAGCCTAGAACCCAACTAACTAAACCAAATATAAACTCCAAGAATTATTAAAAAAAAGCTATAATACTCCACGATCAAAATTTTATACTACTACGAATGTATTTTTGATACATATTTAAAATTACCTCTCATACAGAATGTACAACAAAAACTTTAGGCGTTTTACTTGATATTTAGGGGTACTTGAAGACTTGACTTTTAGGGGGAATCTTCTGTAGGGGTTGCCATCGCTTCGTTTTGCTAGTGCTTTCCAACATAAAACGAAAATCCTCTATACCATTATAAAAATCTTTATTTTAATTATATAACGTAATAATAAAAAGCAGATGTGAATAATTCCTTTATTTACACAAAAAACTAAAGTGATAAAAAACAAGGGGCTATAACTATATACATTGCTCTTTAGTACATATAAATAATCGGTTACATTGAGTCATTTAAGGAAAACGTTGACACTCACGTTTATGGTTAGTAATTTGATTAATAAAATTAATCTAATATTGCCCTAATTTATTGAACCAGAGAGGAAGATACTTGTAGTTTTGACAGATAACAAAAAAAACTAGGATTTTCTTATTCCACCCCTGAAATAAATGGTTGTATTGGTATTTTCAAAAAGAACGTACTCTCGGCCAAATCAGCTGTCAAGAATTTAAGAAACATTATTACTAGAATTGGTATCGGCTCGGCAATTGGCTCGATTTGAATCCACTAAACAAAACGACTCCTGCACTGTCTGCGGCCGACTTGGGTGCCTATAGGATGTACTGTACATTAGCGCACTCATATTGGCGTCTTGTGAGTAATCACCACACCTTTTGTCCAAACAAGTCAAAATATTCTACCGATACCCTATCTATTAACAATGACAAAATTCCTGAATATTATCATATAACGTGTTTGTTATTTACTACATTGCTCAGTTGAAATTAAACGGCCGAAATTGTTTGAATGCTTTTTAGAGACGAATATTAATAGTCAGGATTAGGGAAATTAAGCTTTATCTGTGGCAGCGGTGTATTTGCAACTTGGCGACAAACCACCTTAAATGTAAAGAAAAATTAATTTATGTTTCAATAAAAGCCAGGCGTCCAAATTTAGAAAGAGCTATGTTTCGTAAAAATATTAATTAACTTTTAAGTAATAAATGAATTGAAGCTAAAAAAGAGAGTTTATAATTATTTAAAGCGTTTTTAAACCTTGTAGTAACTTTCGGTAGTCAACCATGATTTTAACAAAGTATTAAACGCTATCGTAAAATGTGTGTACCAAAAATTTGACATACTTTAGTTTGGGGCGTGACTGATGATTTCGGAGTTGTATGTTATGTAAACGTTAATGTATTTTGAACTCAGAGAGCATGACATAAATAGATGGGCATCGCCATCATCTTAAAACACAAATAAATATGCTTTCACTGTCGTAGTAAAATCACAATTGCGTCCTAACTTTTACACAAAAAATTTACGAAATGTATACATAAAATAAGAAATGTTTTTGTTGTAGGTTGCAATTCAACTGCCTTTGACCGACTTAATGTGACTGGTGGAGGTCCCAAGGGTCCAGTGCTCTGAAGCAAAAGAGTATCTACAGCTGCAAATCCTTCATGAACGACGCGCTGCAAAAGAAATTGAATCTATAACCAAGACAGAATAAAAAGGGAATAACGTTAATCGCTAGTCCCCAGCTCGCCCATACCTATTGTAAATAATAGGATTACCGATATCTAGTTTTTAATCCGGCCAAAAATATTTATTTACTTATCAATTTCTTCACAATTATTCTTATTTTTATTTTTGTATTTACTATATACTTTTACACACGACTTCTTTACTTACATTGAGAATTTTTACTATTATTATTTTTTCTACTAAGTATTATTATTACATTATTTTTCTTTTTTTTGCGACTGATTCGCAAACTAGCTGTTGTGGTCTATGGCAGAATGACCAGCGCTGTGGAATAGTCTGCTCCTCAGCATAATGCTGAGCCAGGGCCAATTACAACCACAGTACACACACATTACAAACTTCTTTAAAAACAAAATAAATTGTTCATTTAGATTTTTTTTATCATTATTATTTTGTGTGTTTCTGTGTGTTGTGTTGCGATAATAATAAATGTTATGTCAATGTTTATGTCTAATTAGCAGGAGCATATAAATGAGTTAATGATTTTATTTTATGTACAACTTTTTAGTAAGAAACATGAATACAAGAAAATATAATAGATGAAAAAAGTCCCCGGTGACTATGGCAGGACAGTAGATCGGAAATAAAAATTATAATCTAGTCAGTATTAAAAACCGTGCAATTTATGCCCGGTTGCCGTACCTTCAAGTGTCGGCTTGTGCAGTGAAAGAAAACATCGTGAAAACTATCACTACCCTATCTGTGTTGAACACAAAAGTCTGATCAGCGAACTAAAAAGACGAAATAGTATACTGAAACAGACTGGATGGTTGTATCTGGCCCATGCCTCATTGGCAGAGCACACTATACGAATTAGAAGAATTTGCAGTCGTATTATTAGAGAGAATAAGAAAATCATGACCTCTCGCTTCGTAATATAATTTATTACCTATATAATAAATTTTATTAGAAAGGTAATTTTATAGATAGATAAAAAAGTTTATGACACAATAAATGTACTTATCCAAGTACTGCTTTGCAAACTGGATCTAAAGATTATACGTAGCAAACAAAGGCGATATAACATTGCATTTTAATTCAGAGTTTTAACAAATATCAGTTCTGGCAGAACAGGACTACACAATTAGTTACCTCAGTTAAAATCTTCGAATTATACGAGTCGCTGGGTCGAAACATCATGATTGTATAGGTATTGTCTATACCTAAGTGGCCATCAACCCAATCTTCTATACCACCAGCATAAAGCGCTGAAAATGTTGTCATTGTAAACGTACTCGTTATAAAAACTAAACAGTCTAACTATTTAAAATAAAGTCGACATCCGTCCCTTTCATCGAGTGCAAGAAACGATATGGCAATTAGATTACGTGAAATATTTTTATTTATGACAATGATATCAATTAGTTTATACTAGTTTATACTACCCATTTATACTAGTCCCTTTATCCGTTTTTGATAGGCACCGCAATCTCAATATTTATTTTTCTTTATACGAAATAATATTATTAATTAAAAAAATATATATATATAGGATTAAATAAGAATGTTTTTGGTTTCGAAGTAATAGGCAAATTAAATATGTGGTAAGACTTAGTTTTAAGCTTTATTATGATTGCAAACAGCTTCAGTCTCTTTATGTTTAAAAGGTTTCTCTCCCTCGTTATGCAATTCTGAACATATTTTGTATGTTTAACTCACGTAAAAATTCAGATGTTTGTCCTGCAGCATAAGGGCGACCACTAATACTGAAGGCAGCAGATGCTGCAATTGACGCCCGCTGTCTCTGTGTGGATAACAAAGAGTATTTGATATTATAATTTAATACAATTTTTTAAATAATCAGTTTTAAACGTTAAGTCCTTGGACATTCATAAAAAAAACATGTCCAAGAGACAGACCAACGGGAAGGTGATGGCGGTTAGTATCGATCTATATCCATAACCCTATATCAAAATCCGAAAGCCTTCGATAGGGTGTGGCATAAACCACTTCTCTCTTGAACGCTGGGGTCCCACAAGGTTGTGTCCTATGCCCGACCCTGTTTCTTCTGTATATCAATGATATGTTGCAACTTAGCAATATTCATTGCTATGCGATAGCACTAGATACATATAGGGGGATACTCTATACACTGTTGATCAGTATCGGAAGAAACTAGTCTCTAAAGTCGAAACACAGCTACGTCGAGTCTTGGACTGGGAATGACTAAATCTAGTCTAATTTAAGAAGAAGAAGACACAAGTTTGCGCGCTACTCCTCTCTTCGAAGACACTGTACTTAAAGCCAGCCAGTATCTGAATAGGCGTTGACTAATCGAATGTTGCACGTTGAGTTTCGCGGTCATTTGGAAGGAAAGGCTAAATTAGACTCTAAAAACTTTGTGTACTAAGCAAGACGAGATGGTACATCACTCCGGGCTACCGCTTGCAAATCTATAAAGCGAAAATTCGCAACACAGAAAACGAAATACCACCCATCGTATGGTACCATAGGATACCATAAGTATTTCGTACTCATAATATCACCTCGACGTCAGTCGTTCCACAACTGAGTGTTTTTAAAGGCAGATTTTGGCACGCACCTCCACTTAGGGTAAAAAACCGCCTTCGTTGGGAAGGCGAGGACCTTTACTACGTATTTCGCTCACTCCAGTGAGCTTCCGTCCTGCCCTTCAGGCGATTGACCACCCTGCGACGGCCCAAGCCGAGGTCCGAGTCTCACAGGAGACGCCCTTGCGCTAGTCGCGGGAAAAACGCCCATTCAGGCTGAGCTACGCTCGCCCTAAAGGCCAACAGCGAGATTCCTTTCAAAAAAAAAGCACCTCCACTGTGTGGAACCAGCCGCCCACCCATGTATTTCCAAACCAATTCGACTTAGGGTCCTTCAATAAAACAGCGAACCAAATCTGATTCGCAGAAATCGTTGCCTATGGTGGCGGTTCTTGCATGATGTGGGCTGGTATCGCCATTGGAGGGTAAAACCCAGCTCGATTTCGTGCCTGCAGTAGGCCGAAGAGCAGGACTGACAGCTGATGGGTACATCACAAATATTCTCCTGGAACATGTTGTGAAGACTTCATCCTAATGCATGACAATGCTCGATGCCACACAGCGCGCGTTACTCAGAAGTTTCTTCGAGAAGTCGTTTTGCGCACAATGGACTGGCATGCGCTCAGTCCAGACTTAAATCCCGTCGAGCATTTATGGGATGAGCTCAAACAAAGGGTACGAGCAAGAAATCCAGCCCATTGGAGTCTTGAAGGCAGCTTTGTTAGAGGAGTGGAAAGGTATTCCTCAAGACACCGTCAAAAAATTAATAAGGTCGATGAAGAACCGAATACGGGCTGTAATTAGGGCTAGGGGGGCAATACCAAATAGTGGACCAATAAATGTTATACTCTTTAAGAAAAAAAAAACGTGTTTTATTTGTCAATTCTGAACACAACTCCTTTACCTAAAATCCCATTTTTTCCCCATTTAAGTTCAGACACCAATAATAATAAAAAAGGATACATGGATATTAATAATGATGACATCTTATAAAAGCTGAAGTTTTAAGCTTTCAAATGAAATTTTTATTAAAATGTTGTATGCTTTCACTTAAAACAATTTTTGAATGCAGAGGTAGCGCTTGAGTCGATTTGTTTGCTCGCGAGTGTATGTATAAGATAAGATACCTGCTTCATAGGCATTTATAAACTTCTGTTTATCTAAAGACGGAAAATTTGAGACTGTTAAACTAATATGTCAAAAAAACTTACGTAAACATGATCGAATGCTCTTCTTTTGCGTGTGTGAGAATATGGATACATTATACCCTGTAAAAAATATAAGATCAAATCCGTTAGTAACGTTAATACTAAAAGGATTTTTCAAAATTTCATATAGACTATAAAATAATACGTAAAACGACTCAGTGGACGATTGATTCCAAGCAGTATTAGTAAAGCGGCTAATAATTAATTGTTTTATCATATAACTGATAAATTAAACGATGAAATCTGTTTTTAGTTGATTTAAAAGACGTTTGGCCATGTCGTCCTACCTATGTATGTACCTAGGTACCTATGTATGTACCTGGGTACCTATGTATGTACCCAGTACTTTTTTTAAAACTATAAATTGCTTACCAGAACATCCCCTTCCTTGAAAGCTATAAAGGTGTAAAGTGGAGTTTTCTGTTCATGGAGGAAGTGAGTTAGCGCGCGAGTTTCGGCTTCACTAAGCTGTCTAGAACCCGCGTATAATGGACCACATGGATGTTCTGAACGTAGCTCCTCTGCTAAAAATTAGGATATTTCGCATCAGCCTATTAAGCTAGCAATTTCCCTACATAATAATAATGGATTGGTCCTACGAAAGACACGGAGCGAGGTAAAATCTCAAAACCGATGGAGGCTCACGCTGCCCCATTGCAGTGGTCATAGGATATTAAGCCATTGTTCCTACCATAGCAGGATTTATGCAAATTAGAAAGTTGTTGTTCCAATTGAGTTCTTTGTTGAATGATAAAATAAGCTGTGAAAAGAATTAAAACTTTTACTTTAGACTTAGTATGACTTGAGAACTGCTTTATGAGAGCTTATGCCGTATCTAACGCAATTACGAGTCAAAAGCCGCATACAGACCGACTCAAGTCCACTGATGTCTTTGACATAGTAAAGACATACTTAGAACTTAGATAATTCAAAATAATATTACTTACGTGGGATCCACTGATATTCGAAATTTCTATCAAGGTTCACGCCATAGCAGGACTGAATAGTACACATGACCCCGTACAACTCACACGCTTCGCAAGAATCACGGCCCTTGCACGAGTCCCATGTCTGGCGTAGATTTTTTGTCCATTCCCGTCGCTGTGCGATTTAAAATTCACAAATTAGACATTACTTTAAAATAAGTTAATATACGACATTTACTTTAAAGACACACGCATTTGTTATTGGCGTGTAAAATTTGCGGGAAACGCTTAATAAAAAGTAATTATTATCAACTATCTGTCACGTGGCCTTTACCCAAAAGGGGTCCATACTACAGAACACAAAGAAATGGAAATAACTAACGTAGAATAAGAGTATAAAACAAAACTAACACTCATTTCATTTGTAATTTTTTTAACAGTATGGAATTTAAGTGCCTTTATTATTTATTATTATTAAATTTGTCACGTGGATCATCAAACATCTGGTTTTATTTATTATATTGTCGGGAATGAATTTAGGTATACGTACAATCGCTACAACTATTACACTACATATTTCACTTACACGGGGAAACGTCATCGAGTAGTCGTATCCATCTGGATTAAATACTGGAATTATCCAGAATCGATACTTTACTAGGAGATCTGAGTGAGCGTCAGTACGCTCTATTAATTGATATAACACATACATAGCTGCTGCTACCGCGTGGTGGTCTCTCCCTTGAATACCTAAGAAAAAGGGAATTGTCAAATATATAGTTGCAATTCCAGCCTCATCCTAACAAATTGTATTTAGAGGTTTTTTGCCTTAGTTCGACCCTATAATAATTAGTTGAAATAGCTACGTATTTGAATAGGTTTTTAGAGATCAGAAAAGAGCATAATGTCTCTAGAAGATCGGTAATACATATTTCTAAGTAAAAAAAATTGTAAGTAACGAATATTAATTTTAGACAAATAAAACTAATGTGAGAAACATTGAAATAATCATAAAGATGGTATTAACAATGGTCATGTTATAAGTCTTAGATATAAATTAATACATTATTATCTTATCGTATTAAATTAAAAGCTGTGCGGAATTTACTATTGGACGTTTATTACAAATAAAAATAATTCAGTGGTGCTATACTATAATCTTAAATGGGTATTGATCTTTACCATTTAGTTTTTTTATAGAGGGGGTCAGCCTACTCTGTGACACAAGTTGCCGATTTTTAAGTTTAAGATATGCTTATTTCCTTGACTTGAGAGTTCCACACATACCTAAACCACTAGGGTGGGTGGCTTTAGTTTGATATAAACAACTAAAATAAGAAATTAAAGTTTTCGAAAAGATAACTAAATTATTAAGAAACAGGTACATTACTGTATCTTTTTTGATTCGGTTGCAAATAAAAATACATACCCGCAACAATCATGACAGTTTGTTTCGCTGACATAATTTGTCCACTACTAGGATCGTCCACGATCATCATATAAATGGGATTTTCCATTACAGTATAATTTCCATTTGTTATATCAACCCATTTTGCAACAGGACTCTCTTCCGCCCATTGCTTTAATTGAGTTGTTATCTGAAGTATAAGAGTATCAACATATGAATAATAAAGTCTGTGGCATATTTTCAGTACCTTAAGTGTAATAGGCCACAAGACTAGAAGTATTCAATTGTTATTCAAAAAGATACTTTACCTCATAAAGTGTGCGTGGTGAACTGAATGATAGGTGTCGCAGTTTTAAAAGACTACAAACTCTTTTTGTATTATTTTTCACTTCTTTTGCAAAAGTTGTCGCTTTTAATGTCACTTCTTCAGTATTTCTTGGTGTCAATGTGCCTGTTGTAGTTCCTTTTTGTACGTCATCTTCGTCATGATAATCCATTTTTTCTGTTGTATTATCGTATTCTTCTAAATCAGAAGAAAGACTGATAGTGGTATCTGTAGTATCCGTTTCTTTACTTTTTTCAGAGCCGTCTTCGTAAGCGTCAGAAAATCCAGGATAAACTTTTTTAGTTGTGACATCGGTATCATCATCATACATCATTAAATTATTGTAGAACTCATCCGTATCTTTTTCTGTAGTTTTCTTTTCCTCATATATTCTTCTATATGTGTCATCTACGTTAGATTTGGTTTGGACTAAGTCATCATTTTCGTCTATAAAAGTAATCATAGCAGTAGATGTATCATTTGGAAATATCGATGTACGCGTAGGTGAAAATGCAAAAGGTTTCCGGTTGTTGTCAACCAAACCTAATATATTGAGAAAATCCGGGGTTCTCGCTGGTGTTATATAGTCCAACAATTGCGATGTACGTGAAGGTCGAACAGAAGTCTTATATATTACCTAAAAGAAATAAAAATAAGTTTTCTTATCTATAAATTTATAAAACTTGAAATAGAACTGTTAGGTATTGTGTTACTTACGAATTTTTCAACAGTACGTGGAGTTAGAGGACCAAATGTAGTCTTTTGAGGGAACACCATTGGAGCAATAGGTGCATATTGCGAAAGATATTCAGTGTTGGTTCTAGGAATAAATTTTGGACCAGAGGGAGGGCTCTCATCTCGAAGTCCATGTCGATCTCCAGTAAATTTTATAATTGGACCAATATGTTGTTCACCTTTCCTAACTTCAAATATCATCATGATTATCTTATGAAATAAATATAATATTACAATCAACAGGTATTATACTTACCTTTACTTTTAGGTTTAATTGGAGGAATACCACCTGTTGTTGCAGGAGCGTAGACCATATCTTCATATCGACTGACTTTTAATGTTGTGGGAGGTACAAAACGTGTGTATTCGTCAGATAAGGGGGTTGTGATTGGTACTGCTGTAGATAAAAGTGTAGCACCAACTATTATCTTTTCTTCTATTTTTCTATTGGGTTTAATGTTGACCGCTACGATTTGTTTTGTCTGCGGCATTGTAACATCATCCTCTAAAACTTTCACAATGAATTCTTGGGTCGTTGCACGCCACCGTGTGTATTCAGGCAGTGCACGTTTTCGACGAAAAACTGACGGAAAATAAATACTTATATTAAAGAAGAAAATCGTAAAAATTATATGTATGGGATCCTATTCTTACAAGAAAGGTTACACAAAGAACATTCTTCATCCTCAGTAGAATTCCCCTTGTCGGAACTAGCAAAGTTTATGTGATTAAATGATAATACTAATAGAAAAAGACTAAAATACATATTAAGAAATATATGTTGTTGTTTATCATAGTTTGACATAACATAATGCTTTGATGACAGTTTTTAAAAAGAAGAATTGAGTCGATTGCCAGAGTTAGACTTAGACTTTAAACGCTTACTTGCAACATTTTTTAAATATAAACTCGTAGAGTCTGTGCCGTAAGAGAAGTAGGTGGCATTTGAGTTCGCAGCATTTCAAAATTATTGTTTTGGTTATGTTGATAACATTTAAGTGAAATGATGATTGATGATAATGTAAAAATTTTAAGTATATATTTTTGTGGATAAATGAAATACGCGGAGTAAATAATAATTACATTATCGCATTATCACCACAACGATTATTCTTCTACGTTTCAGATATTTATGACGTATATTGAGAAGATTGCGTCAGAATTATGTCATTAAATTTATAATAAATGACAACTGTTTTTGATTTTATTTTACACTATAAAATATTCAAAATGTTACTACAAATGAAAGTGTATATGATTTCAGTATTATATTTCTTTGGAATATTGTTTATATTACTTTTTCCACCTAGAAATTTTGAGCAGTATGTTTAAATATTGTTTTATCCTTCCTAACACTTTTCTTTCTACAATGTTTCGCTATTCTTGATTCAAATACTGAGGAAATAAAGTTATTTGTAAAGTAGAAATATATATAATGAATTGACTGTACCAAAAATGTAAACGGGCTATTTGTTTCACTTTTAATCTATATGAAGATAGTACATGTTTATATGTTTGAACTATAAATATGTATACCTAACCTATTAAATCCTTTTTCGTAGACAAAGCCTATAGCATTCCGTGCAATGCATGTCGGAGTTAACTTGTTGATATTTTAGATCTGGCGCCAAAATGAGAAACGTTCGAAGTACAGGCAGTTCTTTGAAATACATGGAGTATTTTGACGAAAAGAACATTATAGAAGTCACAAATAGAATGGGTCTTGAAGATCCAGAAATGGTTCATGTTGTACATTTGTCCCCTCGCACTTTACATAATAACACCATCGTAGCTTTGGAACTCCGCAGTGATAAGCATACTAGAAAGCCGGGGATACTTGTTATCGGCAGTATGTTTTTTTTTTTTTAAATTGCACTATTTATATTCATGACCTTTATCTTTCGCCCACATTTTTTACCTACCCATTCAGCTAAAGCTTAGAGAACTAACTACAACTTATTTTACGTAAAACAAACAGAGATCACACATTGTATTGATATTTCAGCACTAAATGGAATGGCATGGGGAGCTCCAAACTCCATCATAGAACTAGCCGAAAAGTTGCTTTATGATGCAAATTATCAAACACCCTTCTTCAACGATTATGATTGGTAATTTCTCTTATTTCACCTAATATTCATACCATACAATTTTATCCACTGGGATATCTGCAGAACGAACTTCTCATTCATACAACATGCTATATGAATATGATTCAGTGTGATTGTGATTCCCATGTTATGATTTGTACATTGAATTGGTTTTTAAGGGGATATTTTTTTAGAAAAAAACCAGTAGCGCTACCTTTTTATGCCTGAGCCTCAGATTTCTATAGTATCTATTTCTAGAGTGATCTCTCATTTTTCTAAGAGGCATGCAGGTAATCACCCTTCTGTAACACACACCGTCGCCGTTTCGGGTTAAGGCATGCCGATTTACTCGCGATATTCCTACAACATACGAGCGAGTGTTAAATGCGCACATACACAGAAAGTTGGTTGGTGCACAACCAGGTATCGAAACTGACACCTTTGGGATGAGAGTTGCGTGCTGAAGCCTAGGCCAAAACTGCTCAGTTATAGAATGCTCAAAATTATGATTAAAACCAGTATTTTGTAATGGCATAGTTAAATAATGAATTAACATTCAGGTACCTCATTCCACTTGTCAATCCCGATGCTATAAATTTCACGAAATCTCTTCGGTCTTTCTCAACAATAAACCACATGGTATGGGCTCGCAATGTGACGGCCAGGAACAATACCAAGCCTTCAGAATGGTATAAGAATGTTGATTCAGTTACTCAAGAAAAATGCTTTGGTACAAATATTAACAGGAACTTCGCATATCATTGGCAAGGTAAACTGTTTTATTTATTTATTAAGAACAAACAAAGAGATACATTACTTTAATAAAAACAAAAAATATAAATAAAATTTTAATTAAGAGTATTTTATGTATAGAACTATATATATACAAATATGACAGAACGGTAGGTATGTAGATAATACAATATTAAAGAGATCACACATTAGAAGACGACATTAAGAATAATTTTAACAAAGAAAAAAAATACATTGCCTACATAGACTAGACTAAAAAAAAATAGTTTTATACCCTATTTTTTTTCAATTAAATTTATATAAACTTTTCACATTACGATATAGCCTAATAAGTAATTTAAGTCTAACCTAATTTACTAAAAAGGATATCAACATAAGAATGTGTGCAATAACACTACTTACTATTAAGTGGTAGACACTCCGTTATTTTGTTTTTTTTTTCACTAACCTCTGATTGCACTTAATACTAACGTGCAATACACTAACTCAAATTGTTTTGTTCTTTTAAATCTTCTCAGTAGCCCCGTGGTGTCAAGAAGAATAGCCTTGACATTCTAATGTAATTCAAGTAATCTATTTTATTATGATTTACGAGTTATAAGTTGTATGTTATATGTTTTGCATAGGGTTTCCTACATCAAGAATTCACTTCGTTATAGGTATTTATTACCATAAGCTATAGGCCTCATGGAATAAGTAATTTATTACATATAGCAATTAAATCTTTCAGATGATGTTCACAAAACTCCAGAAAATTGTTCCCAGTACTATCCTGGACCAAAACCATTCTCAGCACCCGAGTCCCAAGCCCTCCAAAGATACATTCACAAGCTCGGAGACGCTATAAATTTTGCTATTCACGTTGAAGGAAGTTTTGTCCCAAAAAAGGTTTTCATACAAGTCAAATATTTAATAACATTTTTTCACTTCCTACCCAATATTCTCAGTATAGCTTTCTGAAACCCTATATAACTACAAAAATATTTCGAAAAATTATTAAAAACATTCTATTCATTAAAAACTTTAAGCAAAATTTACTTTCCGCGTTTTCTTAAGGAAAATTAACATTTATTGTCTATAATAAAATTATTATTAATTGTATGGTATGTTTGGAAGGAATACATTTTATACCCCTGGCAATACACGCTAAGACCACCAAGTAATGGAAGGACCCTGCAGGCTATTGGTGAATACGCGGCACGTCAAGCAAGATTACCAGATGGTCGGCTTTACGAGGTGCGTGAGAATATTTTTGTGTAAAGGGTTCTTCAAGGGTTTATTTCTAAATAAATCAGTGACGAATTTGTTTACACAACAAAACCGGAAATTACGCACTGAAATCCACGAATAACACATACACAAAACACTGTCACTAATAAGAATAATCTTGAACGATAATGAATGAATGAATATTCCTTCATCAATGGGGTATAACCAGCCCTGAAAACGCCTGAAAACGACTACACTTGTACTGAAACTGTCTGAAAAAATGTTTCAGCCTCCTAAAAACTAGGTTAAGATTCTGTAAATTACGATTTTCTAATATGTGATTGACCCTCTCCGGAAACGGTCAGAAATCACATTTCAGCTTGCTGAAAAGTTCTCTAACAAGTGGAAAAATCTAGAAACATTACAGTCGACCCGTCTTCGTAACAATATTATGAGTTATTCGCAATATTAAGACCACGTATATACACATACAATACTTGGGACTTAGCGTGAGCAACTCATCATACTAATCTTTCAGGTTCATCAGAACAGTAACGATGGTCGCGTTGCGGGTTCTCTTACCGATTACATTTCCGGCGTTTTGGGAACTGAATTAGTTTTTCTTGTCAAGCCTTATCATCCTAAGTATCCCAATATTTCTGATACGTTCATACTAGGTAATATTCCAGACATTTGTAAGTGTAATTATATGTACCAGTAGTCTTATAGCGAAACCTTCAAAGATATTTTTATTTTTGACAAAGCAAGCAATTCAACGCTATGCAAGTTATCTATATCTTTCAAGGTAAAAATTTTGGAACACAAATATTTAAAGGTGTTGGTTTAAATTGAAGGGAAACATGAATATAAATACAAGTTTCTAAGGTTTTCAAGTATTTTACAATAGTAGTGATTGGTCAAAAATGATCCGTTTAAGTTCTCGCGTTAACCAAAGAAAACTCTAGTACATACCCTCCTTGTAAAACTAATTTGAGATTGTTGAATTTTTTCTTAATTTGGTACATTTTCAGAAACATACGTCAAGAAAACGATAACAGCCTTGCTGAGTTTAGTTCGAGGATGGCGAAGTAGCACGAAACAAAATACACTTTCATTCTTTGGAAAGGACGTGGAGTTCTAGAAATGTTTTAACGATATAAGTTAATAAACGTAATTTTTTTAATATCCGGCTTTAAATGCCTAGAAAGAAATTCAAATCATCAACAGTAATTAGTACGGTCTTTTCTTGAAGGTTCGAAATTCAAATTGGTCATTGGTTTGGGTTGGTATCGAAAATGGGCGTGTTTGGCCGAAGTAAGTACTTACTAAACTTAGTAAGCCAGTAAGCATAAAAAAATTAAAGTCTTACAAGCTGACTGTAGCGCTTTTCGGCCAGGACAGACTTACTGGCTTATTAACATAACACAAAACACCGGTTTATGTCATATCCCGTACATAACCTCATAGACTGAATATAATTGACAGTACTAAATTTAGGAATATAATTTAATACCTGTGAATAGTTTCAAATGGATAATTTTATGAGAAATATTTTATTGTCCGTTTTGTTTACATCAACAATAAGCAAAATGGCGTCGTATATTAAGCCATACTTACTGCGTTAGCACTTATTTTGTGTCCCGGCCGAAAATTTTGTAAGCATAGTAAGTGACTTACTAAATTTAGTAAGTACTTACTTCGGCCAAACACGCCCATTGTATGTATCGTGAGCAAACCGACATGTCAACGTCAATCGACGACATATGTGAAGCACAGAAGTCTGAAACCAACGCTCATATACGCGCCAGCATTTAGAATTTTCATTTTTAAAGTAATTTCCTATTAACGTAAATAAAACCATAAAAGGCGTTTCATAACATTTTAATGAAATAAATAACAATATAATTACATACGAACGGAATAAATATACAATATTTACAAGTTATTTGTTAATATCATCTAATTATTGGTGAAAGTGAACCATTTTTCCTTAATATTGACGATGTGTCTATGTACCAATTTGTAGACAGATCGTCAAATGATTTTAAAGCAAAATTTCTTTTACAATTATTCTCTTTGAGATCACTTGTATGTAATAAAGATAAAAATAAATAAGCTTGGTTAAGATTTTGTAGTCTTTTAAGTAGGGATTTTTTTAGCTCATGAATTTGGGTTTGCCGCCAATATTTTAAGTTTCTACCAATTACGGATACAACATTCTCCCTCATATCCTTTAAGCAGTCTTTCTTCTCTGTGATGGCCTGCAAAAATATAAATTGCTGTATTGCAGCTTTTTAGCTAAGGGAGCGTTCAATTATTACGTAACGAATTTTTGGGGGGGGGGGGAATTACGTGTTATTGTTAATATTATTTTCGACTTTCCAGTACTTTACAGCACGTGACTCTTTATAGCTAAAAGTTACCAACTTTTAGCTATAAAGAGTCACTGGGTGGTCACGAAACGTTTTACTATTGGGTACAGAAAAACGTTACGTCGCGTTACACGGGCGTGTGGGGGGGTGTCAATAATGTGTGACGTAATACTTGAACGCTCCCTAAGCTAGAAAATAAAAAAAAATAGGGAATCACTGACTCGCTCAAGCTACGGTTGAAGTGATTTGGTGCCGGTTCACGGAAAGTCTGGCTTATTAAGCACCCTGTAATTAGGCCTGCACGTATCCCTTATAGTGCAAGTCTGTTTAAATATGTATGTACTATATTTATTTATTAACCCTTCGTTACATTAAGAGTACATATAAAGAAAACAATCTTTTCCAAGCTACCTCAGTAAGGAAAAATAAATATAAAAATTAAAATCCAAGAAAAAATTAAATTACAAGTAATAAACGTAATTATCCAATTATTACAACTAAAATAGAATTTTTAATTTTTTTTTTGGTGTACTTAATTTTAATGGGACCTTGTTGAAGAACACTTTTTAAATTAAATAAAGTACATCGACAGTTTCAAAACGTATTATTATTCATAAAAAAAACCCACCCATTAAAATCTTTCGTCCCTTTCCGTTCAATTGTATATACCTTGTCATGAAAAGAGACAGATAAGTACTTTTATTACGATAGTGCAATTAGACTGATATTTTTTTAAATCAATATTAACCCTATAAACTAAAAACTATTTTTCAAAACAATTAGTTATCTGATGATTCGATCGATACATCTTATCCTAATTATATCTTTAGATAACGGTAATTTTTATGGAAATATATGTAAAATTTAATCCTCTCTCGATCAGATATAATAGTGATGGCGATTAGGTAATTAAAGTAATATTAAACGTACGCGTACATGTTTATTAAACAACTTATATCTGGCAACCGTCATGGTCGCCTTTTAACTATAAAATTTTTGTATGAATATATAAAATTCTCGTGTCACAATGTTCCATACTCCTCCGAAAAGGTTCGACCGATTCCTGTGATTTTTTTTATGCATATTCAGTAAATCTAAGAATCGGACAACATTTATTTTTCATCCCCCTAAATGTTAAGGATGGTCCCACCCCTAAATTTTTATTTTGTAGACAAAACTTTGTTTTTATTTTTTATGATACAGCATACCAAAATACATACAACCCTTAATTGAAACCCCTCTACGATCAAACCCAATTTTAATTACAGTAGATAGTTGTTTTTATTGAACTAAAAAAATGTTTCCTAGGAATTTACATGGCAAAACGACGTTTGCCGGGTCAGCAAGTATTTGTATGAAAATGTAACATATATCTAACAAATTAATTTGCAAACACTACCGACGGTTGCTTGTTTCCCTCATTGGGGCATGGGGCAGACACATTTCAGGCTTCATTAATTTTTATGGCAATTGTTTTTGAAATCAAACCCAGTTAAGTTAGAAACGGTAATAATAATAAAATAATACAAACCCGAATTCGTGCGCACAAAACGAGGCGCACGCGTAAATGCAATGGAGTGGGAAGCGCACGTAAAGACAAAGCTACAAGTCCACTTGATGAAATTCGCACGTCACGTGGATAGGCGCGGCTGTCCTCGCCGTTACTGAAAAGATTTAGTCATCAAACTTAGCTAGAAACGTTTCAAACTAGCTAATACTGGTGCGTATTTATAAAAATTTGCGATAAAAAAATATCTTTTCCGTGTTTTCGATATCCATATTTAGTCAAAATTTAATTGAAAATATTTTTTTTTTGATTAAACAATCCTGTAATACTAATTGATCATACCAACTATGAGGATCTAACAAAGGGGGTAAATAAAAACTAATGAAATGAAATTGGAAATATTTTTTAACCATATTTTACTTACCGATATGGTGAAAAGACTAGAATTGTAGGATATGCGCTGGGTGTATAATGCCACGGCAAGTCATGCCTTAACGCATCTATGCGCGCCGCTTGAGTCCGCACCCCGCATTCGTTCAAAAGTCGAGCCGCTTCAGAAAGCGCTCTTGTTGTATGACCACTACAGGCCCCGCCGCAAACCGCCACTAGTGAAAGCTAGAAATAATAATTTAATATATTTCAGTAATTTTACACTAATCCGACTCGAAATAATAAAAGAAGTTGTGGAGCCTTCTTTGGCCTAAAACTTTCTTAATAAAATCAGATAATATTTTTTCTTACGAAAAGTTAATTCGGCACCATTAAAGCAATATAATAAAAACCTAGACTTACGGTAAAAATTATAATCAGTATTAGGAATATAGATCTCGGTTAGTAATAAATTATAAGTCTAGAAGTATATCTAGACTTATAAATAATTACTAACCGAGTAGTTAGCACAAACATTATAATTTCACATGGTAATCTTTTCATATCTTCAAATCCGTTATTATTTTGATACCTTTTAGACTTAACAAAAAACGAAAGAAAAACAAGCAAAGTTAAACGCTTACCACTCCAGGCGTTCGAATAGTTCTCCTAAAACTCCTTGTTGTAAGATTAATAATATCGAAATCTTTTTCTTTAGATGCAGAGCCGTTTGAGCCAAAATAGTGCGTATGCGCAGCATCCTCAACGTGCGTGCGCAGCGTACGTTTTAGTTGCTTCCGAGTGAAGTTAGCTATGAACTCTCGCACGGACTTCGCGTTGTACTCTCCCGATAGTACATATTGGCTCTCGTGCTATAAAATGCTAAACTATAAATCTTACACGTCCATACCTATTCAACCCTTTACAATAGTTTTGTAAAGTATTCGTATACGTCAATACAATAATGTCAGTTTTTTATATGAATGTCAGCATGCCCGGGGTTCGAACACATGATTTCAGAGATAAGAGTAGCCCACTGAAGCCACTAGGGAATCACTGCTCTGATCAAAGTATATCATAATAATTTTAATAACTGAACAATAAAAATAAATATAATTTTGAAATATCCTCAAAAGTAACTGTATTTACTAAAGTCATTGTTTTATGGGACAGGGGGCAAAACAAGAAAGCCTTTGAAAAATCAAATAATGACACATCTTCAAATATCTATAGTTTATAATATTAAAATGGAAATATTTGTATATTTGTAACGAATAAATCCAAACCAATATTAAAAATTCACCACTACATATAAAATCCCTTAGTAACATAGGCTTCTTCATTTCCAAATAAATAGTCGAGGCCTAGACAAGCCTCTATATAAGGCGCGAAACACACAGAAAAGGCGTAAGGTGAAGGCGCGGCGCAGACATCCTGCCGCTTCAAAACGCGTCAATACAAAATGTACGTAAGCGGCACGTTGTTAATTATACTCAAGCGGCGTGGCACAGGCACGTCGTTTCGTCTCTGCGCATTAATGAGTTGCAGCAAAGCGAGCGCATCTTCGTCATCTGAAGAGGAAGACATGCTATCACGATAAAGTTAGCCTACGTAATGACTCTTTGTGCCGTCTCTTCGCCTCTTTGATATAATTTAAATCGCATCCGTGCCTTATCTGTTCCACGCCACTTTTCTGAATGTTTCGCGCCTAAGATTATTTATATAAATTTTAAGCAGAAAAATTCAATTGCCGTGATAATAATTGTAAATCCTAATAGATACCTTGCTGTCTAATATGACAACCGCTGTCATATCTTTCTTATTTTTCAAATCAATGCCGAGAGCTTCAGCAAAGTGATAATTCCTTAAGCTATCCACTGCTAAAATGTTCATAGTGAGGTTCGTTTGACACGCCCAGCCGTGTATGTGACTGATGTTCCCATCCACCTTTCCCGGGGTCACTGCTGGGAATAATTTATTTGCGAATCGCAATATGTTACAAGCATGCTTTACGTTCTCTTGTACTAAATTTTCAGGTGATAGAGGATCGTCTTCCGAAGAAAGGATTGTCATCTCGATTCTAAAAGATTTTTAAATACAGATAAATTTATTATACTGAAATGAAGGCCATAGGGGCCATTCAAGAATTTCGTAAGCACTATAGGGGGTAGAGGGGTGCTTCATTTTCTTTTTTGGTGATTACGTCAACAGTAATTATTTACTTTTTTTACACATATTACCCACACATTGTCTATTCTCGAAAACATAATAATAATCATAAAGTTTATTTACATCTAATATTGCATTGTACGAGTTTATGATACAGGTATTTCACCATCTTTATTTTTGATAATAAACTTGACAATAAACTTATTGCTATCTATTATTGTGAGAGACTGATGCTTAAATTGGGAAAACCTGTTATTACAACTCACGAGTCCCTCTTGGACATAGTGGCAAAGTATTGCTAATACAACTTTTAAAAACGAACAATAAATAATTTATAATAAAAAAGAAAAAAATATATATAGAAGAAAGAGAAAACGAAATGCATTTTCGAGGATTCCTACAAAAAATTGATACGTTTATGTACCATTATTTTTGAGAGCTTTGCTTACTTTTGCTGACAATTGGGGGGGAGGGATAAATTGCAGTATGCAAAAGCAGATTGCTTACGTAATATTTCAACCATATGGCACATTGCATACAGTCATTCTTTCATATACCTCATGCTTACGACAAAATAAAAGGAAGCAGGCGGCAGTTCGTATTCGAACTAAACTAATTTCCATGACGTTAAATTAAAACCATGTAAATAAAACAAAATATACAAATTTAAAATAAATGTTAGCGATTTTCCTAATTGTTTTTCATAAGCCGGTTCATTTCTGTATGGGGTCAAAAGAAATCCCTAGTTTACGACGTGTCGCCTTGGTCATCCGCGGAAGAAGTAAAAACAAGAATTATAAACGCAGGTAATACGATGCGAAATATTGACTATTTCGATAGTTAAATCTTTTCGTCGAACGACCAAAATAAAATAAGATCGAATTTCCAATAGCCTCGTATATTAATTAGGGTATTCAGTATGCTCAATAATTAATTTAGGTATAATAATTTATATCTATAAAAACGTATTTTAAATTAGCTACCTTAAGAGCTCTTGTTAACGACAACGGACAACGGCCCGATTTTTAAAACGGGCGACGGGCCGACGCGCAGTGATCAAGTAAGTTGAGTGAATGTTTGTTAACGCGACGGGCTCATACCCGTTGCAACGTGACTCAACGGATGCGCTCACGTTGCCCCTCGGCGCGACGGCGGCTGTCCGATGCAGTGAACTATGTCATTTCATAGAAGTGTGTTGACGACGACGGATGTGCGCACGTTTATATTTATATCTACCTACCCTCTGCTGCTCATTGTGAATATGGAGTTTACCATTGATATGGATTTATTAAATAGCCTTGTTATTCTGAACTTTGTTGCCTATGTTATGGGACAAAACTATAGAAAATTACAAAAATAAACAAGCAAATTTTGCGGCAAGGAAAGAAATGTTCGTAATGCTAAATAAGGATTTTGAGACATTATCTGATAAATAATAATCAACGTACGTGCACTTCTCCCTTCAAATTTAATAGAACTGATATCGACAACAACGGACGCGTTCACGTTATATTTAGCGTATCATGTACAAAGGTAGCCGTTTTGCGTCGGCCCGTTACCCGTTGACAAAAACGTTCGTTAACAAGAGCTCTAAAGGTCTTGAGTTCGATTGCTGTAAAAAATATTTTAATAATAAATTTAGCTTTAACAATTTTTGACAGCTCAACAAAGCTTTACAAATAAAATACACGAAATATTCGTCGCTGTAGAATGATAACCACGTATGCCCTGAGAACCAAACATTACAGGAAAAGAAATGTTTCATTTAGTCAATGTTCGTTAAAATATAATTATGTATAGTTTTAGTTGGTAAAAAGGACTTATTTATTAATATCATCTTACATTGACGATTAGAAACAAATAATCTTAGACAATAACAAATAAATTAAAAACATGCTAAAACAATTTAGCCTTACTTACTCCTCCTGTTCAAAATCTTCTAAGTGCTCCTCAAACGTCAAACATTGCTCATAATTTTCGTAATTTTTCTCAGCGGCTAATGACTCCAATCCACAGGCTTGAATGAAATCATTTGGCATAAACTCATTCTCATTCGCACTACCTATTATCTTCGAAACCGCCAAACCTTGCTTTATCATATTAATAGCACTGTTCTTCTGATTCTTCTCGGTCACATTGTTCCAAGGATACTTATTGTTGTGCGAAACTACTTTCTTGTATTTTGAATGTAACTTTTTTATGGGTTTAAATTTGTGTTCTTGGCAGAATTTTAGGAAATTCTTCTGCTGATATAGGAGTCTTTGAATTTGTTGCAATTTCATTAGTTCCATTGTCCATTGGTTTGTTTCGTTGTTTTTGCAATTGTAATATTCCATGGCTACTTCCCGCATCTAACGGGAAATATTTTATTAGACGTACGTTAGTATGATTTGAAGTAAATTGTCTTTAGTGGTATATTGATGTCATATATATTCTATTATCAAATTATTATTATTAAACCAGATAGTATAGAGTAGTCTGCTTGTTTTTTGTATTATTTTTTAATTCCACGATCTCGTGTGTCAAAGACTTCAACATATTAGTCCATAGCCCATGTGCTATAGACACGAAATAAGCATTTGTTATACTGAAATATTTTCTAGAACTTTCGTTTGTGCCTTCCAAAATAAATATAATTTACGTGATTAAACCTCGTTAGGGACAACATATAAACTATTTGATATGATCACAATGCCATCAAAAACATAACTTGTAAAAAAGTTTCGCAACTCAGTTCTTCTACCGTGAAAATTTTGTAATACGAAGTCAGTCCGTCAGTTATTACGTACTTAGACCATATCAATATTTAAAAAAAAAGAGTGTGTGTACTTTTGCACACGCGTTAGAAGTTATACTTCTTTGGCGTATGGAAAAATAACTAAAATGCAGTAGTAACGATAAATATTAAAATTAATCAATAAAATTATGTATTAGTAAATTAGTAAATACTATCACCGTCGTATATGAAATTGATTTAATAACAATATAGATTGTGAATAAATAAACATCAAAATAATATTTATTTATTCACATTGTTTAATTGCACTGTTACGAAACACGTGTTCTAAATATAAAAATACTAGAATACACAACTTGAACATAGTTATTATCGATTTTCATGCCACCTAGAACTAACTTCATTCTGTTAATTTTGTGTAACGGTGCGCGCGCATCGTAAAATTTGACTCATCAATTTTTCATAACGCGCCTAAAGAAGTATAACTTCAAAAACTTTTGTTTCAATAAAAATATTGACTAGATCGACAGATAATTTAACTAAGTGGGAGACTTCCTGTCACACGACCGGGATTGCACAAATGCATTGTATATTTTCTCTCTATCAAACTTTCTCAGTTATGACTCTCATAACTAAGCAGTTACTAAGAAAATAAAAAAATCTTACCAATGCATATGAAGGTAACTGTTCGTAGAGTGGATTCATAGGCGTAAATAATATCAACATTGGACTGCCATCAGCGAATCGTTCGAAGTTGAAACCTTTTCTCCACATTGGAATAATTCTGGAGACCGGTTGCACGAAATTTTCCAATATCCATGGAACAAGCGATGACTCGTTCCAGGCTTGATTCTCACCATCAGGTGTGTAGTCCTAAAACGAGGAGGAGATTATTAATTCATGCTACAATTTCTTTTCTTTTTAAGTTTTTTTTTGTATCAAATGATAAGTAGTTTCAGGTAAAAGTCTCTTTCTCTAGTCTAGTTCTCTTTCTCCTTTAATGCCACTGTGGAGGAAGGATGGTGTACTGTTTCACAAACCTAAAGGGAGGATCCACGACCAGTCTAACCACTGACTGGACCGAAGATCCCTGTAGCTTAGGTCGAGTAGTACATATCCAAAACGGCCGGAATAACTTCGTAAGGGTTTGACGTCATCAGTGATTGTAGCCGCAGAATGTAGGTCGCTACACCCCATTATATGTATATAGATTACGATAAAAACGTGAGTATGATAGATACATACTTCTATTTAATATGTATCTACAACTGGATTTGGTTTTCGAATCACAATTTTTCTGCTATTATATGCTTATATGCTGGCTATTATATATTGTTATGTTATCTACCAGAATAATAATTAATAATTATAAATAATCCAACGGAAGTCTCATAACCCAATAAAGAAGATACAAGGCATCTATTTCATTGATATTTAAAGGCTAGTAATTTTAATAACCAGCTAAATAATTACCAGGAATCGAACCTAAGAACTATGAGATATACACCATGTCTGCTGGAATTAATATGTTTAATTTAATCAGAAAAAAATTATTATACCTTAGTGTCATTCCATAACATAAACCTAGCATTTGGCACACTATCAATTCCTAGATCCACAGCTAGTTCTGTAGAAGTGACAACCGCAAAACATACTTCCCCGATTGTGTCAAACTCTTTAGTTTTTATTGCTGTATTATACCATATGTTATAATATTTTGATGTGTATGATACAGGTGTATAACCAACTGCAACAGCCTGAAAAAGGAAATAAAATTAATGTTCAAAATAAACAATTTCTTTATTTAAATAAAACTAAAATAATTGTATATAATAGTTATATGGGCTATAGATCCTAGAAGAGTTGCTGTGGAGATAAGATGAAGTAAGACCTCAACTGAAAAAGCAATAAAAGGTACAGATGTACAATATATAAAAACTAAACTAGGTTGTCTCTTAAACATGGTTTGTGTGCCTTGTTGTGTTGTTGCATTAATCGTTGATATACCTACCTACCTACCTACTGTGGAGAATTAGTAAATAAATAAGTAGTAAACATAAAATACTCACATCACACATGGAAAGCAAATTAACCAAATCTTCTGTAGACGAAACCCTTTGTAATGGTTTCATTATTAATTCTAAAAAGTTAACCATGCTTTCTGCATTTCTTGGTCCTGAAAAATATTAAGAAA